TGTCTCGAGCTCTGACCCCGCCCCCTCGGCCTCGTTTATTGCATTAGGAAAACATCTCATTTGAGCTCTGCTCACCAGTTCACCACTTTTCCTGGTGCTACCATAATCTGATAGGAGCACTGACCACTGATAAAGGGATTACCAGTAGGGTCCATGGGGAGAGAGACAGCGGTCAATCATAGCCTAGTTACTGATAAAGGGATTACCAGCTGATATCTGATATCCAGTCCAGATTCATAGTCTTCTCATCGCAGACCCTACACCTATATTTATAATAGGCCTGGATTCAGTGTGTCTTAAGTCTCACTTCATATTGTTTTTTTTATAGCAAGTACTAGCTACTTTCTTTTACGTATAGAAGAGAACATTGATGTGCTTGGCAATGGAAAAATGCAGAAGGAAAATATAAAGGGAGGATAAAATAGGGAAAGACGGGTGATAATAAGGAAAGATGGAAATGGAGGGAAAGAAGGAAGAGAAAATAAAGAATAGCATAAGGAAAGATGGAAAAAGAAGATAAAAAGTTTAAAAAGAAATACATAAGGAAAGATGGAAACAGAAGATAAAGAAGGTTAGAAAAAAAAAAATACATAGAGAGAATAAAACAAGGTGAAAATAGAGGAGGAAAGATGAAAAAGATAAAATTAGGAGAAAATAAAGAATAACATAAGGAAAGATGGAAAAGGAAGATAAAAGAAGGTTTAAAAAGAAATACACAGGGAAAGATGGAAACAGAACATAATGAAGGTTAGAAATAAAGAAATACATGAGAAAAGATAGAGAGAATAAAACAAGGTGAAAATAGAGGAATACATAAGGAAAGATGAAAATTAGAAAGACGGAGAAAATAAAGAAGGGCATAAGGAAAGATGGCTAAAGAAGATAAAATTAGGAGAAAATAAAGAAATATATAATGAAAATTAGAAAAGAGATGTTGAAAGAAGGAGAAAAATAAAGAATAATATCAGCCGAAAGGTATATAGAACAAAGGTGATTATAGTGAAAAACATGAGGAAAGATGGAAAGGAAACATGGAAATGAAACATTGAGAAGATAAAGAAGTTAATTGGACAAATAAACTTTTAAAAAACCACCAACCAACATGCGTTAACTGGACCAAACTTTGATTGGTCATGTTGCTGCATAATAAGGGCGACTTGAAATAATCGCACTGTCACAAGTATTTTAGTTTTTCTGCATAAATATAATCATTACCTTAAAACATAAAGGTTAGATGTCTTATGTATTGAACCAAATCTTTAATAGGCAAGCTTGCCCAGTACCTCTTTGATCAAACGACACGGCGAATTTTTAAGAACACTAAAAGAAAATACACTGAAAAACGGCCGCTCAGAGTGCCGGGCGCATTCACGATACTGCATGTGGCAAGTTTTTTCCGAATTGGGTGGTGGAGTAACGCCTTTAACATAGGCTATATTTGTCGACCTTACCCGACTTTCAAATGGAGAATCTCACTTTTCGGTGAACGGGGACCGAAATACCCCACTTGCGTGTCTGGTATTACAGACCGCTTTCTTTCCCGATATCTTCGCGTACACCAAGCTTCGTGAGAATGAGCAATCTCAGAAGCTGGATGAATGTTGTCCTTGTAGTGTGAGGTTCATGAGTAATTATTGTTATAAACTCCGACATATAATATGGATGATAATGTTTGTCAAGTTTATTGCGGACTTTGTCATCCTCATGAAAGTATTAGATCAAGTAAAAAGGCTTCAATTAAAATAGTTAAAAATGACCAGAAATCATTTCGATGTTAAGATATTTTTGACGCACTTCTCGTCATGATATTGAATTTATAACATACAACGAAACGAGGACATCATAATCATAAAGACGTTCGTTGTGCAGATATGTATTTGCTTATTAATACATACAGTGACAAAAAGAATAATGCGCTATAATCATGAGCAAAAAACCAAGAGGTTTCGGAGAATGGTAAAAAATCATCCGAGCAGTCAATTAGGCAATTCTTCAACAATCTTAAGTATCAAAAAGTGAAAAGGTTTAACTGTCGTGATAAAAATGAGCTTGTCATAGAGATTTATTATACAAGTGAGCATCGAAATGTTTCTTTAATGAACTGCTATAAAATTTTGAAACCAAATACTCTTGTGCTGAAATTTCATATCCTCAGTATCGAGAAGCATAATGTTCCATTATGGTTGCATCAACTATTGTAAAATAGATTAAGTCCTTCGATGTCTTGTAATGCCCTAATCACTCAGCTAATTATTATCTTTCTAAAGGATTGTAGATTTGAGAGTTTCTGTTTCTTTCGTGTTACATGCAATGGACATTCAATCATCACGGCTTGATGTGTTGTGGGGAAATAAATATTGTATCCTATACGTGTACAGATCATATTAAATCAAATAAAAGTTTGATGAAATTCAATTCTTATCTTGCCAGAATCATCATTTTTTTAAATACCGTCTTTATAACGAATTCCAAGAAATATGCCGTCTGCCTAAACAACCACCCCCCCCCCCCCTATTTCAAATTTGACGTCTGAGCCCCGGCCACTCCCTATTTTCAAATCCTTGATCTGCCGTTTGGGGGGGGGGGGGGCAAGAAATAGGCAAAGAAAGTTGAGTAGACCTTCAGATTACGCACTGATGTAACGAAAACAATATTTACAACATCCTATTCTTGCTTTAATACCTCAAAAATATTTAACGGTCAAACCAACAAAATGTATGTTTTCCCGGCCTTTCCTTATAGGCCTAGGCCTACACCATTTTTCTAAATGCGTTCGAGTTTATTTTGTCTATGCGAATAAATTTGGTGGAGAGTAACGCCTTTAACAGAGGCTATATTTGTCGACCTTACCCGACTTTCAAATGGAGAATCTCACTTTTCGGTGAACGGGGACCGAAATACCCCACTTGCGTGTCTGGTATTACAGACCGCTTTCTTTCCCGATATCTTCGCGTACACCAAGCTTCGTGAGAATGAGCAATCTCAGAATCTGGATGAATGTTGTCCTTGTAGTGTGAGGTTCATGAGTAATTATTGTTATAAACTCCGACATATAATATGGATGATAATGTTTGTCAAGTTTATTGCGGACTTTGTCATCCTCATGAAAGTATTAGATCAAGTAAAAAGGCTTCAATTAAAATAGTTAAAAATGACCAGAAATCATTTCGATGTTAAGATATTTTTGACGCACTTCTCGTCATGATATTGAATTTATAACATACAACGAAACGAGGACATCATAATCATAAAGACGTTCGTTGTGCAGATATGTATTTGCTTATTAATACATACAGTGACAAAAAGAATAATGCGCTATAATCATGAGCAAAAAACCAAGAGGTTTCGGAGAATGGTAAAAAATCATCCGAGCAGTCAATTAGGCAATTCTTCAACAATCTTAAGTATCAAAAAGTGAAAAGGTTTAACTGTCGTGATAAAAATGAGCTTGTCATAGAGATTTATTATACAAGTGAGCATCGAAATGTTTCTTTAATGAACTGCTATAAAATTTTGAAACCAAATACTCTTGTGCTGAAATTTCATATCCTCAGTATCGAGAAGCATAATGTTCCATTATGGTTGCATCAACTATTGTAAAATAGATTAAGTCCTTCGATGTCTTGTAATGCCCTAATCACTCAGCTAATTATTATCTTTCTAAAGGATTGTAGATTTGAGAGTTTCTGTTTCTTTCGTGTTACATGCAATGGACATTCAATCATCACGGCTTGATGTGTTGTGGGGAAATAAATATTGTATCCTATACGTGTACAGATCATATTAAATCAAATAAAAGTTTGATGAAATTCAATTCTTATCTTGCCAGAATCATCATTTTTTTAAATACCGTCTTTATAACGAATTCCAAGAAATATGCCGTCTGCCTAAACAACCACCCCCCCCCCCCCTATTTCAAATTTGACGTCTGAGCCCCGGCCACTCCCTATTTTCAAATCCTTGATCTGCCGTTTGGGGGGGGGGGCAAGAAATAGGCAAAGAAAGTTGAGTAGACCTTCAGATTACGCACTGATGTAACGAAAACAATATTTACAACATCCTATTCTTGCTTTAATACCTCAAAAATATTTAACGGTAAAACCAACAAAATGTATGTTTTCCCGGCCTTTCCTTATAGGCCTAGGCCTACACCATTTTTCTAAATGCGTTCGAGTTTATTTTGTCTATGCGAATAAATTTGGTGGAGAGTAACGCCTTTAACAGAGGCTATATTTGTCGACCTTACCCGACTTTCAAATGGAGAATCTCACTTTTCGGTGAACGGGGACCGAAATACCCCACTTGCGTGTCTGGTATTACAGACCGCTTTCTTTCCCGATATCTTCGCGTACACCAAGCTTCGTGAGAATGAGCAATCTCAGAATCTGGATGAATGTTGTCCTTGTAGTGTGAGGTTCATGAGTAATTATTGTTATAAACTCCGACATATAGTATGGATGATAATGTTTGTCAAGTTTATTGCGGACTATGTCATCCTCATAAAAGTATTAGATCAAGTAAAAAGGCTTCAATTAAAATAGTTAAACATGACCAGAAATCATTTTGATGTTAAGATATTTTTGACAATTTTAGACAATATCATATTTAATTGTGTCCATGTACTATATCGAACTAGACAATTATGATGAAACTTGAAAGGAACATAATTATAACCAGGAAGTTCCTGATATAACTATGCTTATAAAGTGAAGCAAGGAAGATGAAACTGGCATCTCCCATGTATACTGGTAGCTATGAGAATGGACAAAATCCGAACCTATATGAGACTGCGAATAAGACTAGAACATCATGGAGGAGTTCCAAGCAGTACTTATCAAGGTTGGGCTGGTGATGTCCTGGCAAAGTTTGTTTACACTGCAGATTAGGGACTCTAACTCTCTCTTGCTCTGTGGTGAGCTTACCACCAAAATGCACCCCACTTTCGGGTCCAAAGTGGGGTGAAGTTTAAATGGACTGTTTTCGTCATGGTATTTAGGAATTGACAGGACATGTAATCACTGGACTACGCGTTGGATGACGGACATTCACAGCGTGATAACCGACCATTTTTTGCACAATATCGCGTTTTCTGTCGTTGTTGGGAATATTTAGGAATGGCTGGTGACAATATGCCACTGTTAAAACACCTCTCCATTCTCTTTTTGTTCTCAACCTATGTAATCGGTGTTCTTGGTAAGATTGGTTTTGTCATTATATTTCAGGGTGTCCCATGTATTGAAATTTGTGATGGGTCTTTTGTTAATGCCAAATGATTTTAGATATAGACTAGTTGTTGTTATTACTAGTATAACCTCAATGCCACTGTCCATAATATTATTATGGAAAGTGGCATTGAGGTGTGCAAATTTCTTTTAGCTTCAAATTTTGTTTTCTCAGGCAGGAGCCCCAAATTCGCCAAAAATTTGATGGCAAAATTTCACTTAAAATAGATTCTAGATCTAACTTTTAGTCTAGAGTCTAGTTAGGCACATTCATGGGGCACTAGAGGGCGCTTTGCGCGCGTACGAAAATCTGAATGGCCTTGCTGCGGTGGGTCGGCAATAATCAGCCCAAAACTTGGATATGGGAGGGTGGAAGGATATATCTTTTTTATAATGTTATCTGGTCTTACCCTTAACCATCCTATGTTTAATCTATGTAGAAATAACATGCGAGTACGATAAGAGAAACATCGGGCCCATTACTGATGCAACTTTTAAAATATTAGCCTAGAAATGACCACCAAACGGAAAAAATTGACATTTTTTCCCGACAAATCTTCATAAAATCTGATTTATAAACAATTCACATCTAGACCTAGGTACACTAATACAAATACGATTTTCTGAAAATTCAGGTATTACTTTTTAAGTTTCTTTCAAGTATATTTCTGCGCATTGCAGCGCCAATGTTCTTCACTGCTTCAAAATCACCCTTGAAATTTTTTTTTTGCAACAAATTTGTTACGAGGTCCGCGAGTGTTCCCCGTTCCTTGCGTGTTGAAAGTTTTTACATTGACTCGCGCACGAAAAAATGGTCGAAAACAAAATGTCAAATGAAGAAATAAACAAGCTTTTGTATAGTTATAAGAGTTCTACCGAGGTTTCTTTGTCGATTTAATTTATCATATAGTCTCAATTAGAATTCAGAATTATCTCACTGAAAAGTTAAGAAACCGACGATGTTCTCGATCGTAGTTATTTTCATTTTGCCAGCAGCCGATCTAGCGTTGTTTGGGCAAAAAGCTAGGCCGCTGCCTTCCCATCGCAAACCTTTCCGAGTCCCGCTAAAATGGCGCGCTGCGGAGCTCCGAAGCTGCGTTGGTATCGCTGCAAACTCTCTGCCGGCTAGCTCCCCACGACGGACCATTCGCGGTATGGCGAGAGTGTGTGTGTGAGAGGTACGATTTTGGATTCGAGAACGCACGTAATGCAACCGTGCGCGTCATATTCAGCTGTCGAATGTATACGACCAATTTTACATGTACGATTTTTAGTACAGATACTTGGTCAGTTTTCTTCTTATATCTTTGGTTTTACAACATTTAAAAATATAATTTCTTCAAATTTGCTCCTGACTCGGTTCAGACTAATTGTGTGATGTGTTTTCAAGTCATTTTTTTGAATATATTTTTTTGCATGAATTTGCCTAGTCTAGTTAAATTGCAATTTGTATCAACTATCATAATGATCAATGTAATGACGTGAAAGAGGATGTCATTCAAGACACACTTCTGCAAAGATTCCTCACCAACAAATGTGTTTGAAGACAAATATTGATAAACGAATATACATAATAATTTGGGTTTCCTGCTGTATGCAGAAAACTATTCTTTCATGATCATAGTAGGGTGTGTGGACGATTTTTCAATCTTCAATTTGGGATCGTTTTTCACCATTTTTTAAAAATTTGTGAATGAAAAATGTAATAATAATAATATATTTCAAATTTCAAGACTCATTGATGTTTCTATCAAAAGATACAGCCCCTCTAAAACTCTGCAATATTCATATCATTTTGGTCGGACTCGATGAAAAAGACGTAAACGCAGAGCTATAGTGTTTTGCTAAGTTAAAAGTCGAACAGCTAGCAGATGCTTCATCGCGCAATGTGCATGCGTATGCATGGTGTACGCATGTTGCTAAGCTGAATGCGCAACTTGCAGCTTGAGCCATGTTGTCTCCGCGATATTTGCCATTGACTAGCCATAATGTGTAATTGACTTTCGGGTTTCGTTCGCACGCGCCTCCCTAATTAGCTGATTCAAAAAATGTGGGAAGGGTATTTTCAAATCATTACGAAGAATGATCCCTTGGGGCTAGCGAAAAAAAAAAGCACCTGGATATTATCCTTACGTCCCTATTAGGTTAAGCCGCAGGGGCTCGGCTCAGAAAAGTGGCAAATTTTGGAGCGAGGATGCAAACAACATTTCAATCGCTGTTTTGACCAAGACATTTTTAGAATTTTTGGGGTGAGCCCCTTTGGGGAATATAGAGAAAAACCTGCTCTTTCATATGACACCATATTTATTGAGTTTCACGTTCAGGATCACGAGTTATAAAGGTTTTAATTTCAATTTTGTTCATAAAACCATTGAAATTTTGCATGGTCACGCAATGCACATAGAGGGATGCGTACAATCTCTATGGGAAGCATTTTAGCACACAACATTGGGTGCGCGATCAGACACCCTAATCATATATCATTCATTATATTACTATCTCTCACCCTCTTCCCCTCCTCTCTCACCCTCTTCTCCTCCTCTCTCACCCTCTTCCCCTCCTCTCTCACCCTCTTCCCCTCCTCTCTCACCCTCTTCCCCTCCTCTCTCACCCTCTTCCCCTCCTCTCTCACCCTCTTCCCCTCCTCTCTCACCCTCTTCCCCTCCTCTCTCACCCTCTTCCCCTCCTCTCTCACCCTCTTCCCCTCCTCTCTCACCCTCTTCCCCTCCTCTCTCACCCTCTTCCCCTCCTCTCTCACCCTCTTCCCCTCCTCCCTCACCCTCTTCCCATCCTCTCTCACCCTCTTCCCCTCCTCTCTCACCCTCTTCCCCTCCTCTCTCACCCTCTTCCCCTCCTCTCTCACCCTCTTCCCCTCCTCTCTCACCCTCTTCCCCTCCTCTCTCACCTTCTTCCCCTCCTCTCTCACCCTCTTCCCCTCCTCTCTCACCCTCTTCCCATCCTCTCTCACCCTCTTCCCCTCCTCTCTCACCCTCTTCCCATCCTCTCTCACCCTCTTCCCATCCTCTCTCACCCTCTTCCCATCCTCTCTCACCCTCTTCCCCTCCTCTCTCACCCTCTTCCCCTCCTCTCTCACCCTCTTCTCCTCCTCTCTCACCCTCTTCCCCTCCTCTCTCACCCTCTTCCCATCCTCTCTCACCCTCTTCCCCTCCTCTCTCACCCTCTTCCCCTCCTCTCTCACCCTCTTCCCCTCCTCTCTCACCCTCTTCCCCTCCTCTCTCACCCTCTTCCCCTCCTCTCTCACCCTCTTCCCATCCTCTCTCACCCTCTTCCCATCCTCTCTCACCCTCTTCCCATCCTCTCTCACCCTCTTCCCCTCCTCTCTCACCCTCTTCCCATCCTCTCTCACCCTCTTCCCATCCTCTCTCACCCTCTTCCCATCCTCTCTCACCCTCTTCCCCTCCTCTCTCACCCTCTTCCCCTCCTCTCTCACCCTCTTCCCCTCCTCTCTCACCCTCTTCCCCTCCTCTCTCACCCTCTTCCCCTCCTCTCTCACCCTCTTCCCCTCCTCTCTCACCCTCTTCCCATCCTCTCTCACCCTCTTCCCATCCTCTCTCACCCTCTTCCCATCCTCTCTCACCCTCTTCCCCTCCTCTCTCACCCTCTTCCCCTCCTCTCTCACCCTCTTCTCCTCCTCTCTCACCCTCTTCCCCTCCTCTCTCACCCTCTTCCCATCCTCTCTCACCCTCTTCCCCTCCTCTCTCACCCTCTTCCCCTCCTCTCTCACCCTCTTCCCCTCCTCTCTCACCCTCTTCCCATCCTCTCTCACCCTCTTCCCCTCCTCTCTCACCCTCTTCCCATCCTCTCTCACCCTCTTCCCCTCCTCTCTCACCCTCTTCCCCTCCTCTCTCACCCTCTTCCCCTCCTCTCTCACCCTCTTCCCCTCCTCTCTCACCCTCTTCCCCTCCTCTCTCACCCTCTTCCCCTCCTCTCTCACCCTCTTCCCCTCCTCTCTCACCCTCTTCCCCTCCTCTCAAACACTTTATCTATCTTTCACCCTCTTTCTTGTTACCATTCATCCATCACAGGTGGGCCATCTGATGTTACAAGCAGCCCAGTGACAGACGTGAAACATGTTTATCAGTTTCTAGTCGGCCACACTGACATCAGCTATGACACTGCCTTCGTCTACGTGTCCAACGGATTAGAGGAAACAATAAACCTCTCCATTCAAACCACAGAATGCTACCAGGTTGGTATTATTGCATGATTTACAAGAAACAGAAACCTCTACGCTCTATTCATGCACCGATATCTCAAAAATGGATTAGAAGAAACCATAAACCTCTCCATTCAAACCACAGAATGCTACCAGGTTGGTGTTATTGTGTGATTAACGAAAAGCAGAAACCTTTATTCATGCCCCATTATCTTAAAAACCAAGTAAACCTGTCGAGGTACATTATTATAGTTGATAATTGTATAATTTGATAGCTTTATCATCATCTCATCCAAATGTTATCACAGATGACCGAGCACTGGACATAAAGTTGCCAAAATTGCATATTCCTAAAAATGGGATGAATGGTGTACTGTTCAGGAGTTAGTTTCATCTGAAAAGGCAGAATTAGGCCTGTTCAAAACACAGTAAACTTTAACAAATGACAAATAAGGACAAATTTGATTGAAATTAGTGGGCTGAATCATGCATGAATGGTGTACAAAATATGAGTCACTTGATTGTTGAAAACCGTAGAAATATATTCTTTTTGTATATAAAAAGTATCTGCATGCTGTACATGTAATTGTAGAATATTCCCAATTTGCTGTTCATAAATATAAAGCAAAAGCAAAAAAAGTGTCACAAAATGACAAATTTAGTAGCCCATGATTGTTAGGAAGCCATTTTCTTTTTTTTTCTTCTCTATTTGTCAGCTTTTATTTCATGGGGCCAAGGCTTGTGGTTACCACACATCAATATCCAGCCTAAATTGAAGTAGATTTTGGATCATGCTGAATACAAGATCCATATAAAACGGGTACACCTGTGGAAACAAAAAGCCAACTAATTTGTATAATTAAAGTTTATATTAAGAAAAGAAAATTTATTTGGTGATAAACTGATAATAGTAAGAATTGACTGATGGCTATATAATGCTAACCAACAACGACAAAAATATTTATTTGTAAAGGTGCATTTTCTCTTGCTTCTCTTATCAAAATATTTTTTTCAAGTATCCATCAATAAACTGATACCACTTATTCATGCTTGTGTTTGTGCAGTGTAAACTTGTATTGCTTGGTTCTATGGGTGTGCGGGGGTCCGTAGAAGTTCAAGTGGACACAGCATGGCCTGTTGTCATGGATATAAGCTTGGAGGACCAACCAGTCGATAATGCAACGGTTTGCAGGTGAGTCTGTTCCCCTCCCCTTCCTACTCCTCCCCTCCTACTCCTTCTCCTCCCCTCCTACGCCTTCTCCTCATGCACCTTTTCATACACCACTCCTCTCCACATCCTCTTCTTCCTCCTCCTCTTTAATACTACTCCTACTCCTACTCCTCCTCCTACTCCTCCTCCTCCTCTTCCTCTTCCTCTTCCTCTTCCTCTTCCTCTTCCTCTTCCTCTTCCTCTTCTCCTCCTCCTCCTCCTCCTCCTCCCCCTCCCCCTCCTCCTCCCCCTCCTCCTCCTCCTCCTCCTCCTCCCCTTCTTCTTCTTCCTCCTCCTCCCCTTCTTCTACCTCCTCCTCCTCCTCCCAATTCCCCTCCTCCCCCTCCTCCTCCTCCTCCCCCTCCTCCCCCTCCTCCTCCGCCTCTTCCTCCTCCCCCTCCCCTCCTCCTCCCCTCCTCCTCCTCCTCCCCTCCTCCCCATTTCCCTCCTCCCCCTCCTCCCCCTCCTCCTCCTCCCCCTCCCCCTCCTCCTCCTCCCCCTCCTCCTCCTCCTCCTCCTCCTCCCCTTTCGCCTCTTCCTCCTCCTACTCCTACTCCTACCACTACCACCACCACCACCAACACCACTATCGCCGCCGCCGCCACCACCACCACCACCACCACCACTTCTACCACTGCTAATACTCCTACTACTACGAGTGATAATAACGAAAATGATTGGAATATAATTACAACTACCAGGGGTACCTCAGTAATTGTCCCAGATGACAAGAGGATACTATAAACAGTTAAATGATCTTCTTTACGTACACATTATGATAAAGACTAGCTGATAGGCACTATTTGGTCAAAGACCTGATAAGAAAGGTTATGGTCATAACAATTGTGTACATATATATGACTCACAAGAGAGCTACCATTTCTTATCTTTCAGTTGCATTTTATCATGTAAATTACATGGATGGTACAAGGTAGTATACTAAAAGGTACCCATTCTTTTCAATGGTGATTTAAAAAAAAAAAAAAAAAATTATTTCTATTATTATTATACTTCTTATTACTATTATTATTATTATCTTTATCATTATTATTATTATTATTATTATTATTATGATCAATATTATTATACGTTGTTATTATTATTACACCTTGTATATGTATATCTGTTAAGCGCTTTGAGAGGGCCTTCGGTCCTGAAAAGCGCTACATAAGAACTAGCTATTACTATTATTATTATTGTATACATGCATCCGAGATGAATTACCCTACTTGATTAAAGCCCGCAAGACTGACAGTCACGAGACCGACAATGTTGGTCTCCCAGGCCTTCTGACAACTTTTTTGAGGGATCACTAGACCAACTGCCCACACCACCGACATAGTTCTCTCTTCCCTTTTGTATCTCTTTGTTTTTCCGGTCTCATGAGCTGTCGGGCCATGGACTCTTTGGAACTTTATTCCTTTGTTAATTATCGTGTGTATTTATTTATTTTGTCGGTCTCATAGGCGTCGGTCTGAAGGGCTGTTGGTCTACTGGGAGTACTATATATGGGAAATTATCTATTTGGAGATTTTTTTTCTTCAAACAAACTGCTCAATATCAAATGTGAAATATCACTATTTCTCTCTCTCTCTCTCTCGTCCCCCAATCAGAATGACATACCACTTCAAACAAAATGGCAACTACTCATGGTATATCAACAACAAGAAGAGCATGGACAGCTTTGATTGTAAACTGATAGCAACGAACAGTCCTCCCAATGCTTTTATCCGTAAGTCATTCACAATGGGTTTTTTCTTTTCTTTTCACATTATAGATACAGGTAGTTGATGTAGGATCTAAATCCTACATACTAATTCCAGGTGGATTCAGAGTTTGTCACAAAGCTAACAAAGGGTTATCAGAAATAAGTTTGAGTTAGATTCTAAAAGAGTTCTAAACCTTAAAGTTTAGTTTGTATTGCCGTACCCACAGAAAGGTGACATGTCCAATTCTATAATACACTGTATGGTTACTTTTGAGAAAAGAAGATTACAGCCTTTTGAAGCCCTCTATTAAAGGTAAAGACCAGTTCTGGTCATGCGATTGCTTTGTGGAAGAAACGTTGTTGAATCGATCAAGGTTGATCATCTAGCATATAAGTATTGGTGGGTACTGCAAGGTTCTGGAATCATCAAAATGATAAGAAATTTGGCCCAGTCTTGGTAAATTTACAAGCACCGTACACAGAAAGATGTATATGGGACTATGTGACACATGCAAGATATCTATCCAGTCCGGATAGATATAATAATTTACCAAATATATCAATTAATAGGTGGTCTCCGGGCAAAATTTGTATCATCACGTATTAGTCAAAACATATTCTTTCACATGATTGGTAATAGAGCTTCCATTTCATTTTTTGAGAAGGGGGCATTACCAAAACTGATCTATACCTTTAAACTGATGTTGGTGAATGGGGATTTCAGACCTCCATATAAAGGGATTATATGAGGGGATTATCCTTGGAGTTAATCCAACAATGGTTGCATTCATATTTACCTGCAGTCATACACAGTGTTACAAGGAGCTCATTCTACACATTTATATTCAAATATTAACTGCTCACTCTATTATTAAAGAGAAGGTTGAGTTCTGGGAAGAGGTGAACAGTAATTTGTGAGCACTATCATTGTATTATGCAAGTGTGGAAGAACATCAGATAAAAAAAATGTTCCCTGAAACACATGGCTCTTCAAATGCCTTAAAGGTAAAGACCAGTTATGGTCATGCGATTGCATTGTGAAAGAAACGTTGTGGAATCGATCAGAAAAGGTTGATCATCTAGCATCTACATGTAGCATCTGCAAGGTTCTGGAATCATCAAAATGATAAGAAATTTGGCCCATTCTTTGTAAAGTTACAAGCACTATACACAGAAAGATGTATATAGGACTACCCATATCTCTCACAGACCATGAGAGAAACAAATTTACCAAATATATGAATTAGTAGGCGGTTTCCTGGCAAATTTTTTATCATCATGTATTAGTCAAAACATATTCTTTCACATGATTGGTAATGAGAGCTTCATTTTTTGAAATTGGGGCGTTTCCAATACTGGTCTTTACCTTTAATATTCTAAATACAGCATGTAACATCATAAAAATCGGGACTGATTTTTATGCTTCATATTTGTGTAGTCCCATATACATCTTTCTGTGTACAGTGCTTGTAACTTTACCAAGACAAATTTCTTATCATTTGGTAATTCCAGAACCTTGCAGTACGGTACACACCAGTACTTATATGCTCTTGATGATCAACCTTTTCTGATCGATTCCATAACGTTTCTTTCACAATCAAGACCAGAACCCAACTTTATCTTTAAATGATCTAGGAGTTCAAAACGCAGCCAGTAGCCTGCAGGGTTACAAAAAGTTTAACACTATAACAACAGATGCCAAATAAAACAGTGTAGTTCTTCAAAAGTGGTCCCAAAGTTATAATTTTACATAAATTTTGTTCTTCAGCAAGTTTAGATAGAAGAAAGTCTACTCTGGTGGTCACTGAACAAATAGTGATAGAAAAAAGTCATTGACTGAAATGATGATATTACTGTCTGTTATAGTGATTGAATGATTTACATGTATGTCCCGTTTTGTAAATATCACAGACTTTTGCAAACTGAGTGAGCTTTTGCTTTTGCTTTATGTGAGCAAGGCCATTTTCGAAGCCAAAGTTTACATTGTACATTGGATCGAGATATTAAATGAAATGAAAAGAAATAAAATTGAAATGAAATGAAATGAAACCAAAGAAACTAAAAAAAATGAAATGAAACAAAACAAAATAAAGTGAATTTGAATTAAAATGATGAAATAAAATGTTTGAAATTAAATTCTAATTCTAATGCCTTTATTACTGATTAGTACAACCGACAAACTCACTCGGTTCACACCAAAGAAATACGGTTCATAATTTTACTGTCTGCCTTGGTCTTGTGCGGGTTAATAGTTTTCAAGTGATGGAAGTTAACCCCTGACCTAGATTATGCTAATGCTTACATTTGCATTCACTACAGAAATGAAGGAAAGAGAAATGAAATGGAATGAAATTAGTATGAGCTATTTCATTCTCGTTTTATAGCAAACATGTCTACCATTTCTTTGATTGCAGCTATCTATGTAACAATCGGTATATTTGCTGCTATGGCCATCTTCTGTATTCTTTACAAAAAAATGTGCAAGTAAGTACACATGAATTTTGTTTTCTGATCTGTGTTTAAGTAGTTTTTCTTTCATTGCCAGAAGAGATTTTACTGTAGGTTTGTTAGGAGTGTAAAAAAACAAACAAAAAAAGAATAAAAGAACAACAAGGAAAAGAAATGGAGACAAAAGAAACAGGATGACAGACTTTAAAAGTTTTAAATATCAATCAATGCCTCACAATATTCTCTATCATGTATTTTGAATTTGGCAGACATGCTTTGGAAACTTCAAATCACCTTCAAAGATAAAGCCATTTTATTTGGCATATTTCCCATTCATCGCCAGCTTTAAAGTCAATTAAAGATACAGAATATGTGGCTGACTTTTATGATGACACATTTAATCAAGAGGTGTTTTTGTTCCTTTGATGTTGCCAAATTTTGCCAAATTACTGGCTGATCAGAAACAAAACAGAAGAAATCAGTCCTGTTGCCTGCACTAGTATTATCAAATACAGTGAAACCTGTCTATAAAGACCACCCAAGGGAGACACGAGAGTGGTCTTTATAGGCAGGTGGTCTTTATTTACAGGTGCCTATAGTACATGTTTCAATGATAAACCATTTTATAAGGGAAACTAAAGATGTGGTCTTTGTAGACAGTTGGTCACTAAAGCAGGTTTGATTGTATTGTAACAGGATGTCAGTTAGCATTTTGTTGTTGTTGGTTTCTTTTGTTTGTATATGTTCAGTTCTGGATCCATTAATCGCTTCCTGAACTACCTTGGCATGGAGAGAGTTGTATCAAGCGTAAGTAAAATAACAAAGTAAAATAAATTTTTGGCATTAAATTGGCTTTAACAAAAGTAGTTCAAAGCAGATCGGTGAAAGTTTGAGGAAAATACAATTAATGAGAAAGTTATGGATTTTTAAAGCTAAAAATATTGAAAGTCCTTTGAAGAAAGCGTATAGGGATGTTATATTATAATGTGATATGGGCTTCACAAAAGCTTCTTCTGCTTCTATTTCTTCTTCCTCTTCCCCTTCCTCTTCCTTTTCCTCTTCTTCTACTTCTTCTTCCTCTTCTACTTCTTTTCCTTCCTTTTCTTCTTCTGCTTCCTCTTCGTCTTCGTCTTCTTCTTCTTCTTCTTCTTCTTCTTCTTCTTCTTCTTTCTTTTCCTCTTCTTCCTCCTCTTCCTCCTCTTCATCTTCATCTTCATTTTCTCCTCCCCATAGGATCTAGGAACACCTTCTAATCCTGTCGCAGAAGCTGACTCAAACAGCATCCAGCGACCTAGTCGAGACAAACCGAAGAGACTGAAATCTTTAGATGCCTTCAGAGGGTAAGTCAACATCCCTTGTTAATGGAAACCCAGCTTTCATCACATTACTTTCTCAGCCTGTTGTCTGTCTGGGCATCGTTTCACAAAACCATCACAACTTAAGATTTGCTGACTTCTCATTTTGAAACATGTGTTAAATTTAATATGCATGTTTCAATGGGATGTTGGTAAACTTGTTCTTATGTCGGTTTCGTGAAATGTTGCCCAGGTTGTTCATCCTGTTGGTGTCGTATAAGTGATAAGAAAAGAAAAATAAGAAAATGCACTTTCAAGCCTGGATTAGAACTACTTGTCCCATGTATACATGCATATTTTTATGTCGCGGTTTTTAATGAATTTCTTTTTCATTTAGAGTACCTTTTAGTTTGGTTACATGTACCTGTTCTGGTCCAAGCAGCCCATCTACACTGATGTTTATTTTGTTTTCTGATTTTCTGTGCGCAGTGTATATTTGAACCATTTTCATAAATGTTTTTCCTAGGTAGTGTATTATTGAATCCAATTCTATATTATGTATTTCTTTTAATAATGTGTTATTGAATCCATTTTCATAATTGTTGTTCTTGAAAACTGAATACTGAATTATTGAAAGCAATTCCATATTAGGTCTTTCTTTGAATACTGTATTATCTAACCATTTCCATATTATTACAGGGTTGTATCACACTTTATTTGGATATCATGGTTTTGTTTCAATACCATATTATTTAACCTATTTCCATATTATTATAAGAATTTATTTGGATATGATGTTTTTCTTTGAATACTGTATTTCTGAATCCTTTTCCAACTTCCTCTTTTGATCATGAAAAAGTGTCATCTCATCTGAACAATGATTTGTATTTATGAATGCATGTTTTTCTAGGATGTCCCTCGTTATAATGATCTTTGTGAATTACGGAGGCGGACAGTACAGCTTCTTCAATCACTCGATATGGAACGGTTTGTACCCCCCCCCCCTCTCAGAATAAAAAATAACTTCATCTTTTATTCTTCACACAACACATTCTATGTGCTTTCAATAATCTGCCGCTTAAAACTGCTACACATCATGTTATTAGAGCGTCTATAGTTATTCACAAGGACTTTTGGTTTCTGAATTTGGTTTCTTTTGGTGAGGGTATGAATGATTTAGTTGTTAATTGTATGTGTTTGTTTTATCTTGTCATTAAAAGTAGACAAAGATTAATTGGTGACTAATAAGGTGAAGGTACTATTAAATGTTCTAATTTTTTTTCACAATCACTAGGTATTTGAAAGAGCAACTAAAATAATTTAATAATAACATACACATAGAGGTGTCAGTCGAGTGGTTTAAGCACTTACCTTATATTTCAGGCATTGCAATTTCTGCCTTAAGCGAGGTTTTTTTATGTTGAATTATAATTTTGAGCTTCATTCATGAAAAGATGCTTTGATTTTCCAATAATTCCATATTTTCATGTTTCTAAGAACCTTTCGAGAGAGATCATTTTATGTCAATGTAGCATCCACGTACACTCATCCATGCATATATGGTGATAATTTGTATGGTATCATATATAAAGTTGCAATTATAAATGCATAAATAATAACCCCACCCGATCACAAAATCAACTAGTCCGCTCTTCGAAGGATCCGACACTCCCCCAATTACAAAGTGTCAACTCAAAATCAGGGCTTGAAGTTTGAAAATATGGAACACCTTCCCTTCTTTTGTCCGCACTTACACTTCGATTGACTCTTCTAAGAATAAATAAAGACGCACCTCTTCAATAAATAAATTTTACTTTTATTTATTCTTTAATTTTCCTTGTTTTGTTGTTTGCCTATTCAGCATTAAATTAGCTTACCTGACTGAGCAATATGTTATTTGATTTTACACTATACATGTTTAAGAACGATTGTATGTATTTATGTAGTAATGTTTATATGTGTGTTTGTGTGTACAGTATGATGTCTTCATTGTGTTTATAAGATTTCTTATCATGTGATTGTTGGTGTGACAGGAAAATCTGTCTTGTTTTAGAAGTCTCTGCACAGTATTTCATTCATGATGCTCATTGTTGGAAAGGGACTTAGCTCAGCTAGAAGGAGACTCAGTGGACCACATCCCTGAATAAAATAGACCGTTTTTCTTGAACGGAAAGTTACTTTAATCTGTTGAATCTGGTAGGGCAGTGGCTGACTGCCTGTTGATCGAACAAGCGCTAGCGATTTGAGTTTATCTCTAAACACATGAGTAGTACTTTTGCAATGTGTTTGTGAAGGTGGATTTAATCCATTTGATAGTGTACTTCAGGGGCGTATACCGATAACGACAATAATTAGCAAATATACCGGTATATATGGGACTGCCCTGGTGATGTCACTCTTCAATTAACTTCCAATCCATCTTAATTCTAATTTTCACAGCAATTTCATTGTCAACTTTTTCTTCCTATCAGTGTATGTGCCAGTCAGGGAATCGGAGCAGATGCACAGAAACTTCCTTTTAAACATATTTGTGTCATTCATTTAATCCAGTTTCTTGTCTTACATTCTTTTAGGTTTAAATCAGAACTAAAGTTACGATGCACTTATTATCCCCTTGCCAGAGGGGATATACATGTAGAAGCGCTGCTGTCCGTCCTATCGTCTGTAACAAATCTGCTTTCTGTTCAATAAGTTTAGTTAGAATTGACGGATCTTAATGAAATTCGATATAAAGGTACATGGTATAAAAATACAGCTAAATTTCGATTTCGATGGTTGTAGGTCAAAGGTCATAACTCATTAAATATGCCCAAAATGCCCAAATCTGGATTCCGATAGATAACTTTAGTAATGTTTGACGGATTTTAATGAAATTTGATATGAAGGTACATGGTATCAAAATACAGCCTAATTTTGATTTCGGAGTGAAGGTCAAAGTTCATAGCTCATTCAATATGCAAAAATACCTAATTATATATGCAAATATTTTATGTGAAGGTACATGGTATCAAACCAGAGCCTAATTTCGATTTCGGTGTATGTAGGTCAAAGGTTATAGGTCATAGCTCATTAAATATGCAAAAAATACTTAATTATATACGCGAAAATGTGGTTTTTATTGAATAACGTAAGTTATGTTGTTGAGTATGTAAGTCAAAGCTCATACTCAGCTCATTAAATATACAAAAATTGCTCAATATATGCCATTTGTACGCGTTGAGAGGATGCTATGCTTTGCATTGACTTGTCTTTATTTTATCTCTTGGCCTTCAAGGTTTAGTTTGGTGATAATGATCTTTGTCAACTATGGAAGTGGAAAATATCGTAGCATCTTTGGACATTCACCATGGAATGGTGTGTGAAATACCTTTCTCCTAGTCTATGTTCCTTTGCTTTCCCCTCATGGCCAATTACACAGTGCTCTCAGGAATTTGTTACAATACACTTATTTTGAAAGTTGATTTCACCTCTATAAATCACAATTTTTGAATGACAAATATTTTCAGTTTTGATAAAAGAATCCCTTTTTTCCATAATTTATCATGAGGTGAATTTTAAGAAGTTCAATTTTTTTTTTCTAATTTGAAGTGTGAAATATGCATAATCTTTGAGTATTTAATTAGCATCCTTTCATTATTTTTTATTTTTCCATGCCCACCTGCCCAAATCAATAGGAATGTAATACAAGAGCATGTCACGCAAAAGTATAGCTCAGAGTGATGAAACATATTCTGTTAGCACGTTTGTGGATTTGCCCTTCCAGTCTTTGTTTCTTCAGTTCATCATCATTATCCCCCTTACTCTCTAGGTATGTCTTCATCAGCTCGAGACTCTACCTCGAGAAATTAGCTCAAGATATTTTGCTCACCGTTCGTGCATATTGTGAGTCTTTAGGCTGGTGAAGACGCACCAGACAAATAGCGGGATATTTTGCAAACTAGCCCAAGATATCTTGGGATGATTATCTTGAATATTATCTCAAATATCTCGCTAATTGCAACTGCGGGCTGATGACGACGTAAATTAGCTGGATAATTTGCGATCAGGATAGTTGAAATAGCGGGTTATTTGGCAATCTCGAGCTGATGAAAACAGGCCTTCTGTTGTCTTTCTTTCTTTTTTGTTTGTTATGATTATGTAAATGGCATGATTATGATTATGTTTATTGCTCTTGCATCAAAAAGGTGGCATTGAAGTTTTATTTTACAAATTAAAATCCTGTAACTTGGCAGTTTTAAATATCATAAGTTTATGTCATAGTCTGAGAAATAAATCTAGAAAAGATGACTTGCCTAGTAACCTTTTATTATCTTCATTGTTTTACTACTGTTTTACATGTTATCAGCATGTGTTAAATTGACATAGTATTTCCAGTCATTTATGTAATAGATTTGACTTTAAAGTCCCCCACAATGTGAAATAGAAATAATGCAGAATAAATACAAATCGGTGAAATATCAGAGAATAAAGTGGAGAAATTGTTAAATAATAAAGGAACAATGTTTCCTATGTGATAGTATAATTATTCTGCGCCAGGAGTGTCATTTTTTTTTATAGACATGGTGCATTATAAATGTTCACTATTATTATTATTATAGGCAAATTTTGCTTTTGTTTTCTCCATCAGCATCCTGGTTTATCATGATTCCTCAACCCCCCCCCCTTGTCACTTACTTTTTTTGTGTATGTTAGTCTGTTTATGTATGCATTCCTTTTTATTTCATAATATACATTATTTTGCATTTCGCATGTTTTTCAACTGGAATGTGGAAAATAAATAAATGACAATGAAACAAAAGTTTTTAAAAATGAGGGAAAATATATAACTTCCGGGAAATTTTTCCGGAAAAAGATAATTGCCAATATCCTGCTCACTGTCTTATACCAAGGAGCAAGGTTTTCAAAATTTAAGATTCAGTTTATGCAATACTCGCAGCTTTTACAGCTGAATTGTTAGTGATTTCCCATATTTAAAAAACAAATATACAAGTAACGCTTGGCCCAATTAGTTTTTGTGCTACTAGTGATATGTACATGCATCTCTAAGGAAATTATTTGCAAGTGAATATCTTTATCAGCGTAACATGTTTTTAGCCCCCTGTTGGGAAAACTTTTGTCCCTGTTCCATATCTGTGAGTAGATTTAAACTTTAAAGGTAGGTCTGTAAAATGTGAAACACGTTCCGAAATGCGTTATGATACATTATGCACGAATGAAAAAACAAAAGGCAAAAGGGAAATTAAGCATATGTATATACTTATATATCTGCATATAATACAGACGAATATACTGCATGCAATATATATATATAAAACAATCATTGTACTGTACGTGGAATTAGCTGTACTTGCATTTATTCCTACATTTCAGCATGCATGACAAAATTACACTTCAAATGAAGTAATGCAGAACAAGTGGCATGTTTAACATGATAATGGTTTTTCATTGTAATCCTAACAAAATTTTAGCATATTTGATGGTATGTCTAAAAACACCTTTCATGATTGCCGTTATTGAGACAGCCATTAAATGTTTCATAATTTGCCCCCCCCCCCAAAAAAAAAAAAAGATCATGAACTTGTACATCTACTCTGAACGAAATCACACATTTCGTTTTTATAGTCATTTCTATGTCTATGATAATCATGTTAAAAAACAACCTACTAAAACAAAATTAATATTTGCACATATGATTTCATTTAAAAAGAAATTATGTTTGCTGTCAGTTGCACATCAGGTATGCATGAAGTTATTTCTAATTGTATATTTTTAATCACCACTAGGGGCAAAGAGGGCGTTTCAAGGTTTTAATTTGCTGTTTTTCTTCTTTTTGTATGGGTGGGGGGAGGGCTGATTATTATATTGATGAAGGTTGACTTTTAATTAAAGCTACTTTAGGTTTCCTTACTCTGCTTTTCAGAGAAATAATATTATAATTCATTTCATTTTCATTTCATTTTATTTCATTCGTCATATAAAAACATACATGATTATAACATTGATATTTACAGAGAAGTAAAGATCAAACAAATAACACAACGAAAGATAAACATAAAATACAAATATATATATATATATATATACGAATGAGGAACCAGCAAGAAAGAACTATTAAGTCTTGTGTGGTGCTGGTCCCTTGCGACATAATAAAGAATTTTAACCTATAACACTTAACACCTTACGCCTAACACCTAACAACTAACATCTAACACCTGATTGCATATATTTATATATATATATATAAAAACTAATAAAATACTATTCACAAAAACGTAATTGTTTGTATCTCTTTTTAAATGTATTCAGAGTTGGGCTTGCTTTAACAATAGGAGGTAACTCATTCCATAAAATTGTTTTAAAAAAAAATATTTTTTTAGAGACATAAGTTTTGATAAGTGGTATATGAACATGAGATGATTGTCTAGTTATATATATGCATGTATTTCAGAATTCAAAAGTTCTGTGACTTGATTAGCAAGTTTACTTTAATCATGAGAAATAAACAAGATAACATTTCAAACTGTTTGCAATCTTTCACATGATCATATGATTCAAATTTGTGTCAGTACCAAACCTGAGCAATGTTTAAATGCAAGTTTTAATTAATGTTAATCTTAAATCTTGTAGAATATAACAATATTTAACTAATTTTCTCTAATTTGTCTATGTTGCAGGTCTAACAGTGGCTGATTTGGTCTTCCCTTGGTAAGGACTAATTGTTAATTTTATGCTATTTCTGTCATTCAATTTTCAGGAACATAACATCAAACAATAACATGCATGTACATAGACGATTATACCACACATGAATTAATGATTATAATGATAATAATGATAATTATGATAACACAAAAAATGAAGGAGGAGGAGGAGGAGGAGGAGGAGGAGGAGGAGGAAAAGCCTAGAAATTGCTCAAGAGAAATATAACTTTCAGTCTTTATTTGCCACGGAGGTAAATCCTAAACTTGGAGAATACAAGTACACTGTATATGTGACAAAACTTGCTTGTGGTAGTCCCCTGTTTGTCCAATTATTTGACCACAAACAAAGAGTTAAATGGGAAATTATTTGCTTGTAAAAAATTTGGTTCTACTTTTTAAGGCATCAGGGCCCGTATTGAATTTAATACTTAAGTTTTAAATATGAGTATTTTACTTAGTCTTCAGCTTTGATAGAATACTTGGCCAATTTTGGTTTTCAGTTCAAACTTTTGGCTAAGTATTTTAACCTAAATTTAAGACAGCTCCCTACCAGACTTAAGCCAATTATTTGGAGGCCTTTATTGGCAGGCAAATGGTTTTCTTACGCAGTATTATAACCTGCGCATAATTATATTAGCGCCCATTCATTGCGACGCGTTAATTGCGTATTACTTTTAATTGACCGTGTGATGTCACAATGCTTATCAGTAAGTTAGTCAAAATGCGATTTGAATACGAGATAAGTAAACTCCTACTTATTTAAAGTATTATATTGAATACCGGTCCTAGAACCTTACAGAAATACATGAGGAACCTGTGCTAAGTTGAGCAATGGTAAATCTTTTCATATTTAACTGATCAGGAGATTTTAGCTAGTTTTTGCTCTATTTATGGTTGTTGATTGTCTCTGTCTCTGTCTCTCTGTCTTACGACCTGTCTCTCTCTTTCTCTCTTTCTCTCTTTCTCTCTTTCTCTCTTTCTCTTTTTCTCTCTCTGTCTCTCTGTCTCTGTCATTCTCTTTAGGTTCATATGGATCATGGGCGTATCCATCACCATGTCCTTCTATGCCTTGGTGCGTCATGGTGTCTCCCGTCGGGTCATCTTTACCAAGATCCTCAGAAGATTTGTCATTCTCTTTGGTCTTGGCATTATTTTAGATGGTAAGCACTTCTCACATAAGATATATAAATAAAAATTCAATGATAATGGTAATAGTTAATTATCATAATGATGATGATGATGGTAGTAATCATATTAATAATAAAAACAGGAATAACAACACCAATTCTGTGATGTCTCTATTAAAGCACTTGACAGGTTCTATGTATATTATTCCCCGGCCATTGCATTCAGGCTTTCTCACACACATATTATGTGCACATAATTCTCCATTCCTTGGTATCATTCCAGCCAGACTTAATGTCATAGAAGCTAAAGTGATAATGTGATAAGAATAAATTATATTTTAATATAAAGAAGAAAATGGGAATCTTTAAAAGTGTGGCCGATTCATTTTCAGGAGGAATAGACTTCTCCACCTTTAGAGTACCTGGTGTCTTGCAGAGGATTGCATTCTCTTACTTGGTGGTGGCTACAGTCCATCTCTTTGCAGTCAAACACAAGGATGAGGAATACAGAATCAGGGTAAGTCAATTTCTAGAGATGATTGCATTTTCCTATTTGATGGTATACAGTCCATCTCTTTGCAGTCAAACACAATGACGAGGAATATATATTTAGGTAAGTCACATTGAGATGATTGCATCCTCCCATATTAATGATTGCACTATCTTACTTGGTGGTAGCTACTTGTCCATCCCATTGCAGTCAAACACAAGGGTGAGGAATATAGAATCAAGGGAAGTCAGAAACAATTACATTCTCCCGTAGATATGAATGCATTATCTTACTTGGCGGTAGCTACAGTCCATCTCTTTGCAGTCAAAGACAAGGATGAGTAAATTAGAGATGATTGCATGCTCCTACTTGGTGGTACTCTAGCTATGCCCATTTCATTACAGACAAACAAAGATGAGGAATATAGAATCATCGTAAAGGTGTAAGTCACATAGAGATAATTGCATTCTCCTACATTCTCCTCATATCAATCAATACAATGATTAGGAATAGGAAATTAGAATTAGAGTCGGTCATTCAAAGATGATTGCATTCTTTTAGTTTATAATATTTTTTTATCTATTTCCCATCTTATGTGATGATAAATGTGATATGATTATAAATGTACCTTACAGAGACCTGAACCATCCACTTTTTATCAACCCACCCTTAAAAAAAAAGCCAGTAAAAGAGGATTCATCAGGCTAATTGGCATTCGTTTTCATTCTCAATGCTCTCTCTCAATTATGTGAATCATGACGAAAACTTGCAAGGCTCTGTCCAAGTTTTAACGAGAGAAACAAAAGTGGGGTCGTGATACCCCACCTGATTTACATTGGTTGCTGTGTTATAGTGGTGGGGTATAGTTTTAACGAGAGCTTCTCGTAATGTTGACTATAGTATTCAGAGATCTGTTTATAACTCCTTTGTTTCATAGTGAAAAATACATCTCTACTCTTTGGCATTGCTGATGATATCAACGTTTGGGTTCTCTGTCTCTCTTTTTCTTGACAGCATGTAGTATACAAAGAGTCAGTGATGATATCAATGTTTGTGTTCTCTGTCTCTCTTTTTCTTGACAGCATGTAGTATACAGAGAGTCAGTGATGATATCAATGTTTGGGTTCTCTGTCTCTCTTTTTCTTGACAGCATGTAGTATACAGAGAGTCACTGAGGATATCAATGTTTGGGTTCTCTGTCTCTCTTTTTCTTGACAGCATGTAGTATACAGAGAGTCAGTGATGATATCAATGTTTGGGTTCTCTGTCTCTCTTTTTCTTGACAGCATGTAGTATACAGAGAGTCAGTGATGATATCAATGTTTGGGTTCTCTGTCTCTCTTTTTCTTGACAGCATGTAGTATACAGAGAGTCACTGAGGCTGTTCACACCGGCAGAGATAGCGCGCGCTAGACCGCGCTATCTCTGCGGTTTGGAAGGTACAACGTCGTTTCGGTCCGCCCAACAGCGAGCCACGGCGAGCCAAAATGGCGTGCCACTGGAGCACCTCTTGGGGGTGGTCCACGAGAGAGAGCGCGGTCTAGCGCGCGCTAGAAAAAAAGGGGGTGCTACGATAGACCGCGCTATCTCAATGCGGTGTGAACAGCCTCTATGATGATATCAATGTTTGGGTTCTCTGTCCCTCTTTTTCTTGACAGCATGTAGTATACAGAGAGCTGCGCGACCTCCTGGATTACTGGTACGAGTGGATCATCATGATCAGTTTCCTTGCTCTTCACATCTGTCTTACATTCTTTTTGCCTGTCCCGGGCTGCCCAACGTAAGTGTCTGGTTTCCATATAATATATTATTAATAATATATTACATTTATAAAGCGCCTTTTCATTAGATGCACAGCGCATTAACAACAAACAAAAAGAGAGATTATTATCATACAAAGCTTACATTAATTACAAACATAGAGAAATATTACAACAAATTAGAAAAGATGTGTTTTCAGACACCTCTTGAAAGCTGTGAGAGTGCAGCATTTCTTTACTACAAGGGATAAGGATTTCCAGGTTTTGGGGGCAATAATGGAAAAAGCCCTATCACCTACCGGGTATCTGTTTACTGGTTCAAGGGATAGTAAGTGTATTACTCTGCGAAAGAGTAGATCACCTAGGTGTGCTGGGGCCTGATTTTTGAGACACTTGTAAGTGTCAACATATCTTCTTATATTGAATGGTTTTATTGGTCATAAATTATACATCAGCTGAGAGTATTATACATTAAAATATAATGATATAACAATAGTATCTCCTGTTCATCCAAGCGTGAACACATACCACACAAAAATGATACCAAATGATTTGGGATTAAACGCTCTGACATAAGATGTATAATAATTTACTGTTCATAGATGATTTTTAAAATAATTAGCAATTTTCTAGGTGTAAACTTTTTTTTGACTCACATGGTATACACCTGTCAACAAAAGCCATTTTGTCTGTTTCTCTTGGGTGGCCTCAATAGACAGGTTTTATTTATTTATTTATTTATCTATCCTTGCAGGGGTTACCTGGGACCCGGAGGACCTTTGGTTGGTGAAAATGAATCGTTGGTGAACTGCACAGGAGGAGCGGCGAACTACATTGACAAAGTGATTCTAACATATAATCATACGTACCCAAGAGGCACGCCACGGGTAAGTTAAAGGGCAATCCAACCCTTGTAATAAGTCCATTGGTATAAAAGACAAAAAATAAAGATAAACAGAATGTTGAATGTTTGAAAGAAATCAGACCAATAACTAGAAAGTTATGAAGGTTTGAAATATGAGATCACTAAGTCTTTGCGTATCTCAAATTGATAGTTTGGTCTGTACATTGTGAGGTATTTGCGGAAAACTCTCCCGTTTGTCATGTACAAAAATATAATTAATTTCTGTTCATCTCCTTAGTGCCTTTGCCCTTGCGGCACTATTCAAAATGTATTATGGATAGCATATTATTATTGGTCTGCTAAAGAGAATAGACCCTCTTCATACATTTTTGACAAATTTAAATGTTAGTCATTTTGTTTGTTGGAAAAATGAGAAATTTTCAATTTCCATCATTTTCAAGGAGGGTAGCAACCCTGTCCAATAATACGAGTTAATCCTTTTGCGACAATTATTCCACATTGTGTGGTTTGGCTCAATGAATTGAGTTTCAGAGCCCTACACAATATACCAGATACACAAGTAGAAAGGGCAAACATATCTGCACACACCACATCCATTCCATGTTTCATGACTATATTGCATTTGATGTTAAGACTTTTAAAAAGGAAAAGAAATTTTTAAATCTGTAAATTAGCAACATGTTGAGAGATTAAAAATCTTTGTTTTTATCGATTAACACTTTAAAAAACTTTTCGACAAAATTATCGCCCGTGTACATGTATATTGTTTTCAGAGACGTATATAGACCATGGGATAAAATGGAAAAAGGCTGCCGTTTTTTATTTTGGTGGTCCACTTCTTCGCTCCACCTGCAAATTTGTATACTAGGGTAACTTTTAGTGCTGAATTCTAATATAAATGTTAAAAACGCGTAAATATTGCATGTTTTCACCATAATAAGGCTTAATTGTGCAAATTTAAACGAGATGAATATATTGCAATTTTACAAATACATTGCACATCTATGCATAAATCTGGAGTATATAACACATACTATACTGCACAAACACCATTTTCCCATTGATTAAAAAAAGCATCAATATGCAAATCCATAATACGGCTATTTAACGGAAAATGCTAATACCAAAGCAACTGAAAGGCAATAATATTTCGTGCTGATCTAAATATGTTTCTTGCTACTTATACCACTATATCTCTATAATTTGATGCAGTTATGAATATATGAATTTTACCAAGCATGGAACTGCAAATTTGTCACTAAAACCAAGCTTTAAAGGGACTATGTCCCATTTGCAGGCCAAAAAAATGAAAAAGTTAAATTCCAACTGCATTTGAAAGATAATACTAATTTAGAACTTCCCTAAAAAAGATGGGGCTTGAAAATGTCTTCAAGTGGGAAAATAACGACTATTAATTGTCAAATCGACTTTAGGGCTATAGAGCCCAAAAGTAATAGTCTTGATTTTCAGACAATTGCACCGAATGGTCATACGTTTTATGCTGCGCAAAGATTCAATCAGTTTAATCTTGGCCATCACAAGAAGTGGGTTATTGATGTAGACAAATACTCATGTACCCTTTACAACTCTTTTCATATATGTTATTACCAAAGAAGAAAAAAAGCCAGTCAGTCACTCAATAGTGTCTGACAGTGAAGTCTAGCAAGTAAACAGTTTTCCTTGCATAATTTGAATATGAGGACACTGCTAACGTTTGAATTTCACAGATAGGACATACATGACATATTCATAATTCCTACAAAGTTCTACAGCATTTGAGGTTGGCTGCAAATGGGACATAGTACCTTTAATAATTATACTAATTTATGTAAAATACATTGTTTATATTATTCTACCGGTCAAAAAGTAGTATCTAAGGTAATGCTATTTATAAAATACCTAATTAAAAAAACTAAGCATTAACATCTATTCTTATTGTTTTCCTCTTTCTTTAAGTATATGGGTGGGTGGGGAAAAAAACCTATTTCCAAATGTCCTGAGATTTAAGTATGATTGTTGCCAAGAAAGATATATGCAGACACGAACTGGTAGTATCGCATGATAATAATAATACTTCAAATTACGCGATTCATGCGAAATCCATTGCACCAGTTGAAAATCAATGGGCCTGTCGAGGGGTATTTCTGATGTGATAGCGACTCCATAAATCCCATTTGGCTCTTCATATTCAAATCATTTGTTTTACGCACAGCTTTATGAAACACCCCCAGCAGAGGTAGCTAGGTAAACAAACATGTTCATTTGTATATTCCTACTCATGTGAAATGTAGAATTGATAAATTCAAATTAGAAATCAAACTCGAACTAATTGTGAGCATTAAGACCACTGATCATAAAAAAAGGGGGAAAAAAGAAAAAGGTGAATATGTTTACCTTATTGTAATTCTAATGTCTTTAATTAATTCACAGAAAATCTACCAAACGACAGTACCGCATGACCCGGAAGGGATTCTGGGAACTCTAACTTCGATCTTCATGACCTTTCTCGGATTACAGGTGAATTCGTTGGCATAATTGAATTATTTTTTTGGGCTCTTTTTTAAAATTTGGTTCATGTTATTTTTTCTATTTCTTGCTCAAGACAGAGCATTGTGTCTATATTTAAATGAATTGGTTTGAAGTATGACATTGTAATTTAATGTCACTTTGTAAGTAGATTTTGAATTTAATTTGAATTAGTCGTAAATGCATTGATACATTTTCACTTGAATGTAATTTCAATATTCAAATTGCAATTTCAAAATTACATTGAAGGTTTCATTTGGGGCATAGATTTGAAATCAAATTTGAATTAGATGTGAATGCTCGATACAATTTAATGTCAATCCAGAAAATTTGTCATCTACTTTTCAATCTGTTAAAATCGTGCAATTATTCACTTTTACAATCTATTGCAACTATTTTAATAGCCGCCTCTGGTTACAAACAAACACGACCCGTTAAAAATCAATGAATATCGGAGAGAAAATATTATTGCATGTACATATTTATACATATATCTTTATATTTTATAATTTTACTATGAACTTGAACAAATTTTTAATTTATATCATGTAATGTCTGCTTTCATATGTATTTATTGTATTTTAATGATTTTATCTTTATTGTAAAAAGTCACACAATTCAGCCTCCTGGCTGCAAGATGATTTTGAATAAAACAAACCATTTATATAATAGTTCATGGATTTGGAATTAAAATTTTAATGAGATATGAAGGCTTCGATTCAATTCTATTCGGATGTAATTCCAAAAATGTGTCAGTCTGGAGATTGAAATTTGGAATAGAATTAATTTGGATTACATGTGAATATATTGATTCACGGAGTGCTTTTTCTCCCTTCTCTCTAGGCTGGCAAGATTTTTCATCTCTTTTCCTACCCAAGGGACCGAATCTTAAGATTCTTAGGATGGTGTGTTGTAACTGTAAGTACTTGACGAATATTCCATTCCCGAACACAAGAGGGCTTATCGTACCTTGGCTCTGTAACATGAGGAGTTACAGTTGATTGCATCTCCGTAAAAGTTAATCGTATCTCTTTCAATTATTCATAGCTTTACAGTCAATTTGCAATCCGTTGTGTAGGAGGGAAGAAGAAGTTAAAAGTATATTCCCTGATGTTCCCAAAACACTCTTTCAATTTCATTCATCTAATTTGTTACCAAATTTCTCAAGATTAAAGTGTATTTCAGTGTGATAATGCATGTAGCTATAAATATGGTAAATGGAGCTTACAAATAGAATAGCAAAAGCTAGTCAAGGCTGGCCTCGTTTAAGATAAATAAATCTACAATGTCTGTATTAGCACTTTACAGGTCAATTTGAGGTTTTATTATCGTCAGTATAAACAAATGTATACATACTGGTACATACATTACATAAACAAGAATAGAGTTCTGCTTTGAGTTAAAAAAAAATATATAAAAAAATAATGATTTTCTCTCCAAAAATAAATTATTTCTTTTTAAAGTAATTTCTCCTTGTGTGGAGGATCATCATTTGTTCTGGGTTTTTGGGGGGGGGGGGGGGGGGGGGGGGGGGTAGATATATATATATATATATATATCTGTTTCAGTGAAACAGCATGCATTTGGTCACCACAGATGTGCACAGACATGTTCATGATATTTCCTTTTGTATTGGTGCAACGGGCGGGAAAGTTCAATTTGTGATTTGTGTCTCATGAGTCAATGTACCTCTGTGAACATATTAATAGTCTACTCTGCTGCCCCCAAACCCTGGAACAGGCTTCCTCCTCACCTAAAATCATCACAAACAGTAGAATCATTCAAACAGAGTTTGAAGACATATCTATTCTGAAACCATATGTATTCATTGAAGTCACACTATCACTGCTTGGTAAGTTGTATATATGTTTAAAACTGACACAGGGATGGCATCTCAAAGTGCTCCACATGTAGTGGAAAAGACGATAAATATATTGGAACTTTACTACTATTATTACTACTACTATTATTACTACTATTACTACTACTACTAAATGTACTACCACCACCACTATTATTATTATTGTTGTTGTTGTTGTTGTTGTTGATTTCATTTGGTTTGGTTTAGTTCTCTGACATATTTCGGGTTGATTTGATTTGATTTTAGGGCGTTATTGCAGGTGCCCTCTGTGGTTTCTCTAAGGAAGATGGGATTATTCCAGTCAACAAAAATCTATGGTAAGACAACATGTAATCACTATTCTGATTTCGTACGTCCCATTCTCGTGATCACGTTATCTCAAGAACTAATTGATGGATTACCACCAAACTTAGGTCATGTATGTAACTTGCAGAGCTAATGAATTGATTAGATTTTGGGGTCACGAGATCAAAGGGCTCATTACGTATGCAAAAATAGCTCGTGATCGCATTATCTCAAGAACCGATTGATGGATTACTGCCAAACTTGGATCATATATGTATCTTGTAGAGCCAATGAACTGATTATATTGTAGGGTCATGAGTTCAAAGTTCAAAGGGTCATACATGAAAAATAGCTTGTGAAACTATATTCTGAGAACCTGTTAATTGATTACAATTAGACTTGAATTTGAAAAAATGCTTCTGTTTTGGTTTGTGAAATCGCTCTATGGCGAAGGCATCATTTTCGACTTTGTGCAGTCAAAGTTCCATCTAGTTTTATACTAGATTCTAGACCTCTATTTGGTCAAATGAAATTCTTCACCATCTCCTGGGCATTAAAGAATAAAAAATTTGACCAGGCATAGTTCTACTTGCACGTAGAATGCAAGGATACAATAGATATGCATGAGGATTGCACTTAAGATTTTACACTTCCCTGCAAATGATTTCCTTTGTAAAATCCTGTTTTTGAGCTTTCTTTTTAAAATAAATTTGTAATGGGATTTCTCCTTAACGAGGAGGGCAATGAATTCCGTACAACACTTCCAAAACTGGGAATCGATTTTTGTTGATAACTCGATGTTACAGTTCTTTCCATTTGCGAGGTTCCATTATGCAACGAGTATTATAATCATGATCTTGATGTCTTTGCAGGTCTGTTTCGTTTATACTTGCCACGGCCAGTATGGCCTTCTTCCTCCTGGCTATCTTTTACTACCTGATTGATGTCCAGATCTGGTGGACTGGGGTTCCTTTCTACTTCGTCGGTGAGTCCTTTAAACCGTTTTCAACAAATAATAATAATAATAATAAATAATAACGATGTCTCTAAGCACTTTACAGATATATTATTACCCCGGTTATTGGATTCAGGCTTGCCCGCACACAATGTATGCACATTCTCCAATACCTGGGGAGCATTCAAGCCAGGCTATATTTTACAGACGCTCACAATGCTGAGCAAGCTACATAATCTTTCGCATCCTACCGGGTACCCATTTAACAACTGGGTGGAGAATGGCAAATGTAGATTAACGTCTTGCCAAAGGAAGTTAGTGTCGGGCTGGGATTTGAACTCTGTACCTTTTAATCTGCAGTCAGGTGACATATCCACTAGACCATAAAACCTCTGCAAAGTCAATTCCAACTATTATCAAATAACATTTACAGAGAATTTTCTATTTTAAATGAAGAATATCATAGACACTGTAATAATTTATGAAATATTGAATTTTATATACTTTGTTCTGGAATGACATAGAAAGTCAATTTGTGGGCATTCTGTAACAAAGCTATTTATAGTTTATGAATGGTTGATCGAAAACTTGACTGTCATGAAAGTTCCTCATAATGACTCATATTAGTTTATATCATTTATTTGTACATTTTTATTAAAATGCCTTATAATATTTCTCAAAAATGAAAAAAATCTCTGAAGATGTCATTTCATAATGTTTGACCAAAATGAGAGGTGTTATGGTCTAGCAGGTACTTCACTGGACTGTGGATCACATGGTTCATGGTTCGAATCTCAGATCAGTACCAATGTCTTTTGGACAGACATTAATCTATATTTTCCACTCTGTGAAAAGGATGTCTGGTGGGGATACTCCCTAGGGGGTGGAGCGTGTGCACATAGCAATCGAATCATATGACCAGGATGATATTAATAAAAATGTAAAGCGCTACAAAAATGTGACTATTATTAATATATTAGTAGTAGTTACAGTAAAAGTAGTAGAAGTAGTAGAAGTAGTTGTAGCAGTAGAAGTATTAGTAGTAGTAGAAGTATTAGTAGTAGTAGAAGTATTAGTAGTAGTAGAAGTAGTAGTAGTAGTAGAAGTATTAGTAGTAGTAGAAGTAGTAGAAATAGTAGTATTAGTAGTAGTAGTAGTAGTAGTAGTAGTAGTAGAAGTAGTAGAAGTAGTAGAAGTAGCAGTAGAAGTAGAAGTAGTACATGTAGTAATAGTAGAAGTAGTAGTAGTAGTAGTAGTAGTAGTAGTAGTAGTAGTAGTAGTAGAAGTAGTAGTAGAAGTAGTATTAAATAGTAGAAGTATTATTCTTATCTTTATGATAATGATGATTATGAAAAGGTGCCTTCCCTTCATTCCGATCTCTCTCTATGTGCCCATAGGTATGAATTCCATTGCGGTGTACTGCGGGTCAGAGGTACTTGGTAAATACTTTCCCTTCTGCTGGGAGCCGGTCTTCAACACACATGCAGAACTCTTGGCCATGAACGTTATCGGCGCCTCTCTCTGGGTACTCATCTCCTACTACATGTACGCCATTGACTTCTTTGTCAAGATATGACCTGCGTTCGCTCCTGCATCGTTTATCACCAGAAATAAACATTATTGACTCAGTTAAAGCTAATCTTGAGCCCTGGTATTGGAAACGTAATAAACCAGTGAAATAAAATGAAATGCACAAAAATTACAGGGCATCATCTTCAATAAGAACCACAACTCCCATTTGCACATACCGGTAGTGACCTGTGTTAAGCACATGGTGTCAGACCTACTTACCCGGATTTCCTTATCTTTCTAATTCATGCTCATTACTCAGCCACTATACATTTTCTACCAAAATTGTTCGGCACATGTCATTTATTTGTAATCTTGAACATTCAGTGTATTAAAGTTTCATTGGATTCTTTGATAATTTAGTTTCTATATCTACCAGAACTCAACCTAAGCTTTATATCTGTGTCAAAGTATAGGATTGGTAGCCCTTCTGGCCCTCTTGAGAGGATTTGGTAATGGTTTAACTCTTTACATGCCGCAAAAATAATCTCCCTGTGCCACATTGTATTTATCATGGGATAGATATATGAAGGGCTTCAAGGTTATCTAACTGTGTCCAGATTAATCTTAAACTATACTATTGTTAAAAGGGTTGTCATTAAGCTAATCTAAACCCAAAATGGGTAATTTTGCAAAGCCTTGGGTGTTGTAACAAACAATCCTTTCATCAATTGGTGCCTATTGTTTTGTGTGAAATGGTACGTGTGGCAAACGAGCATCCGTACAGAGAGGCAAAGAAAGCAACCACAGTGTAAGGCCTGTATAAAACATGTGTGTAAAGTTAATTTGGCACTCAAGATATTATTTTGTCTGTTTTGAGCCAGAAGGCTTTTAACGCTGTATTAAAATATATGAGTTAATGCCCTAATGGCTCCCAAACAGAAGATGAAAAGCATTAACATCCATGTGAAGAGTTATTTGCAATAACAAGACTCACTGACTTTTCTGTAAAACCCTTTCATTAAAGGGATCTGGTAACTTTGTCTTAGATCCTTTAAAAAAAATCCTTGATTTACCCCATGCTGCAATGATAATTAGGAACCTTTAGGTCAGTCAGGAACCCATGACTTTTACAAGCCGATCGCCTGTCTGATTATCAAGATATTTATGATTGAAAATCAAAATTAGATTTTGCGTTTGCCAAACGGTTTTGATAACACTACAGTCTATTGGGGAAGTATGGTATAACCGGTCACTCAAAGGTTTTTACTTTTTTGAGGCACCTCTTGATCATTTTGAAGTGCAATTTTTTAGGGCTTCAATATAATATCATATCACAGACACTGATAACACGTAGGGGCCGTGCATCTCAGATTTAACATTGTTAAACGATCCCTTTAACAGAGAAAGATAATTGTGTGCTAAAAAGCATTTTTGCATTGTACTGTATTTAAATTGTAACTCATTGTATATGTACAGATTACAGACAACTTTATATTAGTCTATTGATGAAAGAACTTACCAAAGATATTAATATTTAAATTTAAACAAATAATTTTGATTTTAATTAGCCTATATATATTTAAGTACTTCCTAAACAAATATTTCAGTATGTAGTTAAGATATGTATTTGGACTACTTTAGTGTTTATTCTCACATGATTTAAAGATTCCTTTTGCAGCCAACATCAAATTCTGTAGAACTTTGCAGGAACTATGAATATGTCATGTATGTCTTATCTGTGAAATTGAGTGACTGACTGACATCATTTTTCCTTTGGCTGTAGCAGGTACATGAGCATTTGTCTATATGCAATAACCCACAACTTGTAATGGCCGAAATTAAACTGATTGAATCTGTGTGCAGCACAAAACGTACGACCATTCTTTAAAGGGTCTGAAAATCAGACTATTACTTAGGTAATTGCAATCACTTAAGTAGATTCAACAACTAATGATAGTTATTTTCCCACTAAAAGCCATTTTCAAGTCCTTTCATTTTGAGGGAAGTTCTAAATTTGTATTATCTTTCAAATGGCGTTGGAATTTAACCTTTTCATTTTTTGGCCTGCAAATTGGATATAGTACCTTTAAGTAACCACTGTTTTTTAGATACTGTCGGGTATCCTTTTTTCAGTCCTAGAAAGTTCTGTGCAGTAACGGGGAATGGAAATACAATGTGGGATATTCCTTCAAAGTAAAAGAATTGGAAACCAAAATTTCATGATATTGAAAATTCTGTTAGATGATTTGATCATATGCATTATCAGAAGGTTATTGTACGGAACACCATGAGGAAAACCCGATTCTATAATTAGTCAATAATAAAATCAATATTTATTTAGTAATACCATTCACACGTTATGAGTTGATTTTTAGAATGAAGTTTGTCAATACAATGATACCTCAGTCATACTGCTAAACCAACTCAACTTTGTTTTTAACTGACCGATTCTGATAATGATATACAAGATTTGAACGGCGCCAATTCACCACATCAATTTAAATCAGACGCTCAAATACTTCCTGTCAATTTAAGGTAATGTATTTTCTTTTGGTCCTGTTAGCGGTCTGGTTTTGGTCTCCTTCGTGTAAGTAGGACATTAGAGTAGTTTGACAATCATTGACGAAAAAAAGATGAATTTTATTTTTATACACATAATGGTACATATTGCTTATACAGGCTGACTTTTATAATGTTTGCAAATTCTTTTAAATTTAAAGGGATATTTACCTTAATTTAAAAAAAGTGAATGTATATGATAAATAGCAATCCATTATACATCATCGCACAAACTCTGCAATCTCTTGTCATGGCTTTAATTATTGGCAGTATTAACATGTAAAAATTACAGATTTGATGCTTTATGTCGTAAATGTACATCTTTAAATATATACATGCAATCTTTTAATCTTTAAATTTAGATCTAATACTTTAGTGGAGAGTACTTATTGCTCTAGATGAAATGTAGATGATTTCACTGCCATTTTTTAAAATCACATTGTTAATATTAAATGCTTTAGCATGAGGGGTTTAAAGTTTTTATCCTCATTGTATTTTAAGACAATGCTTGCCAATTTTTTTTAAAAGTGACTTGAACTAATTAGACATCATTAATCAGGTGTTTTATTTTTGTACACATCGTTTGTATAAAGCTTTTTAGACTGTGCTCAATAGGAAGGTATAAAAAGAAAATTCCTTCATTTTCGTGGGGGGGGGGGGGGGGCTTATGTACAGTGTAGTTGGTTGTATAATTGTTTTGTATCATTGTGAATTTTGTTTGACAGCATATCTTATGTAGTCTGATAATTTATTATCATTTTCTTGATTGGATGTAAAGATATTCAATATTTCTTTCATATTGTGAAAGTATTAGCTTCCATTTTTCTTTTGCAATTTCAATTCATGTATATTTAGATTTTTCAATTCATTGGCATTCAAACCTTAAAACTCACTTAAATGAATGTTAATGATATGGCACGAGAATGTATATGCTGTCTTAACCCATCATTTACTTAATGGAATACTATGGAATATTAAGAAATCACCAAGAGATGGAGAATTTTTTTTTATTGGGGTCATTGTTTTGTTTTAACCCTTCTGAGTGACTTGCAACTGATCTTGTTATTCTGAATAAAGAAGTTTAGATAAATAACATAAAATGAATAAATAAATTTTGTTTTGAGGTAACCAAAGATGTTGTTTAGTGAAAATGTTTGTATTTGTGATTTGACTAGCTTCTGTGTTATCTTGAGTAAAGAACGTATATTCCGTCATCTTTGAAACTACCCTAACATCAGTATATATCCATTTGGTCTTACAAAAGATGTGTTTCCTATAGTTAAGTGTTTGATTCTATTTCATCTTTCTCTTCTTCTTCCTTTTCTTCCCTTCTCCTTCTACTTCTTCTCCTTCTCTTTCTCCTTCTTCTTCTCTTTCTTCTTCTTCATATTCTTCTTTTTTTCCTTCTCTTTCTTCTTCTTCTTCTCCTCCCTCTTTCATCCTTCTTTTTCTTTTTCTTCGTCTTCCTCCTCTTCCTTCTTCCTCTTCATCTCCTTCTTATAATGAGATTTTTACGATTTAAAAATGCAGGATTAACCTGAAGTAATTTAATCATGTAATACTTCATATATGCATGAAAGATATAGTAAATTATGTTTTGTGTTATTTGAATGCATATAAATAAATCGGGTTGATACCCTGTCTCATGACTTTTTTGTCGCTTTTATTGTTATTTTATCTCTATCCTGAAATCCTGATGCCCTAGTATTTACGGTAATGCAAAGTTTTGGGAAATTTTGAAAATTGGTTGGATAGTAGTTCTTTAAAATGTTGATATATTTGGATACCCCTGTGGATGTATTGCAAGCACTAGAAAATTGAGCCCCTAAAGCACTACTGCTTTCGAGAAATTGAATAATCAAAATCTACCGGTGCTCCCGGTAAATATCAAATATTTCAAATAGCGCCTAAGGCCATTCCATGGTAGCTGTGACCATGAAATTTCAGAAAGATACAGTTCTGATATATAATTTCCAAACGGGAATAGCAAATCGGGCGATTTTAGTCAAGAAACATTGTTTTAAAGTTAAATTAATGTCAGTCTTGAGAGGGAGCTATACAACATATTAAAGTAAAGAGTTTATTATTTACAATTTCATCACTTGGACTCGATTTCAACCGTGACAACGATCATTGAATATTGTAAAATCGCATGTGCTTCCAATATGTTCATTTGAAACTTGCTATTTTGCTCATCTCCAACATAAAGAGAGACAACATTGTGCTAGATTAAGGTATGTTTTTGTCCGACAAAAGTACAGAGAAAGTGCATATCATTTTGTATATCATACTTTTTGAAAGGTTACCCAAGTGACTCCCGGGCACCCCAATGGGGGGGGGGGGGGGGGAACAGAATTCAGACAAGGATTAAGAGGTACAACGAATTGTCTTCTTTCTCTAATAATTTAATGAAACGTCAAAGCTAAACTCCCCCTCCCTGCACCCACCCCCCTAGGGAGCGCGCTTTGCGCGCTCTTTAAGTGATTCGCACGCTTCGCGTGCTCACTACCGCCCGCGAATTTTTTTTCCATACTCGAGAGAGCAAAAATCCCATGTGCGCATGCGCGTGGACTTATGATTTCTCTGCTACTTCCCATACGAAATGTACATGTATTCGCATGTACTGTGCACGATTCGCGTTCTACGAGTAAACGATGGCATAGTAGTCTTCAAACACAGACTCTGCTTTGCCAGTTTGACAAATCAATATGCGTATGTGTCGCGATGTGCTTATTCAAGTCTGTGTAGTTGTATGATTCAGACCCAGTAGTGCATATGGAAATACATTGCAACTTGTATAGAATGGTATAGTAGTCTGCAAGCACAGACGCTAATCTGACAGTTTGACAACATACTAGTAGTGTGCTGAGAAGTACTTTATTCAAGTCGCCAACTTGTATAGAATGGTAGCGTCTGTGCTTGCAGACTACTATACCATGCTATTCAATTTGGGATGCATTTCTGTAAGCACTAAAATGTCTGAATCATACAACTACTCAGGCTTGAATACTAGTACTATTGCTACGCACGATATATGCGTAATTGTTTTGTCAAACTGGCAAATCAGAGTCTGTGTTTGAAGACTACTATGCCATCGTTTACTCGTAGAACGCGAATCGTGCACAGTAGATGCGAATACATGTACATTTCGTATGGGAAGTAGCAGAGAAATCACAAGTCCACGCGCATGCGCACATGGGGTATTTGCCCTCTCGAGTACGGAAAAAAAATTCGCCTACCGCCCCCCTAAAATGAAATCCTGGCTACGCGCTTGTCAGCAGCGTTCGGAGAGCTCTTCCGGTGCTATGCCGGGGCTGTATTTAAGCGTTTTGTAATTTATAATAATCATTACTTCGAATGTTTCCATTCCACAACTCGAATTAGAGACACAGGAAATAAGGGTGTGGTTGCATGCAATAGGGTACATCGAATGGCGACAAAAAAGGCACAGACAATGGGCAGGGAGGGAAAAGGGAATGTGAAAGGGGAAAAAGATAGGACCCCATCTCATCACAATTTCCCCTAGACGATGGCCTCGAGTCGCATACATCATACACCTAGTTTATACAACAGTGCCCACTCCACCCCCCTCCCCGCTCTTATGATACCAGTCCCCCCTCAACGGTTTTTGTTTATTTATTTATTTATAACACATCTTTAAAAAGAAGGGTAGCCCAATCAGCAAACAATTACTGGTTTTCGTTGAGGCCCTTCATGACACAAACAAGTATATACATTTCATCAACATATCAATATATAAATAAACATAAAACATTACAAAATTCGATTTTAACAAACAAGAACTTGCAAACCAGGTTATAAATAAGGATTTGATTATAAAGAATAACGAAATGAGTAAAATGTATATGATACCAATATAAAATTATAAATAAATATAGAAAGTTACAAAATACGATTTAACAAACAAAAATTGCAAACCAGGTTATAAAAAAGGATTTGAACATAGAGAATAACGAAATGAGTAAAATGTATATGGTACAAATTTGTAAATGCCATATATCCTATTAAAGCAAACAGTAAAAGGTTATTAAAAAAAACAACAACAACAACAACAACAACAGCAACATACAACCACAATAACAAACCAACAAGAGAAAACAAGAAGAAGATATGATAAAATATATAAAAAGAGGAGAGAAAGAAGAGTTATATCATACCATAATCATATTAAAACGTGGATGTCTTTTGCCATTTTGCCAATTCTTGTTTACATGGTTTCATATTGTTTATAAATCGAATACGTTCGGGTAATTTATTCCAGTTTGATGGACCTGTGACAAGAAATGACTTCTGATAAAAGGTTGTACGAACATGTGGCATCCTAATTAGCATCTTATTTGTGCTCCTTGTTGTTCGAGATGATATCGCTTCAATATAAATAAACTTATCACCTAGTACTTCAGGTGCAGCTTTATGTAAGCATTTATGAATCATGCAACAAGATGCTCTAAAAAACAGATGATCTACTTTCGGCCAGGATAGAATTTCAAACACTTGTTCAGATGGAGTTTCCCAGGACAAACGAGATATCATATATGCTGCCCTCTTATGTAGTCTTTCCAGTTTACTATGGTTTGCTTCAGATCTCCCAGACCAAACGGTACAACAGTACATTAAATGGGGCACTACAAAAGCCCAGTACAGTTTGTTCAATTGTGCTTTATCAAAATAATGTTTACATCGACGAATAGTTCCTAATTTCTGTTTCACAGTTAAAGCAATACTTTCGATATGTTTTTTAAAGTCAAGACTGTTATCAATTATGACTCCCAAACATTATATGTATATACACATTCCAATTGGCATCTATTTAATTCAATCGACAGCATATTGTTATCTAATGATCTAAGCTTTTGCTTTGATCCTAGCAGCATCGTTTTGGTTTTATCACTATTCAAAATCAACTTATTTTTATTTAGCCAAGAATTCAGTTCACCAAGAGCTTTGTCAGTTTGAGTTCTACCTCTTGCTTAGTTTTTCCACATACAGAAATAGTAGTATCGTCCGCATACATATAAACAATGCCATTTGAGATGGAGCATGGGAGGTCATTAACAAATAGAGTAAAAAGGAGCGGGGCCAGGATGGACTCTTGTGGAACTCCCATTGTTATATTCTAAATGTTGATTTTTCTTTCCCTAATGAGACAAATTGTTGGCGATTTTTCAAGTATGATTGAAACCATTTAATTACATGCGGAGAGCAACCATATTGATGTAATCTATTTAAGAGGAGAGAGTGGTTGACTGTATCGAATGCACGTCGGAGATCTATAAAAGCTACACCATTCAAATACCCTTTGTCTACATTGTCTGACCACTGGTTAACCATGCACAATAGGGCTGTTTCACATGAGTGCTTAGGACGAAATCCAAATTGGTTTTTATAAAATAGATTATGCTGAGACAGATATTCAAAGATATTTAAATAAACTGCCCTTTCAATTATTTTAGATAAAATCGGCAATATAGACACGGGTCTGTAGTTTTTCATTATGGCTGTATCCCCTCCTTTGGGAATTGGTTGGACTCGGGCTATCTTCCAAGCATCAGGGTATACTGAAGAATGCAAAGACAAATTGAGTATATATACTTAACTTTCCATTACATGAGGAATATCACAGATATATTTCAGTATTTTAACAGAGAGTTCATCATACCCAGTTGCTTTTTTGCAAGTATATGATTTTATCTGTTTGATGACGAAATCTATCGAGATATTTGAGAAGTAAAGTAAATCACCGTTTGTTTGTTTACGGTTGTAGCCAAGGAGCTTCTCAACTGGTTGTAGCCCCATGCACTTTCCTCACTACCCTTTTTTTTTATCAAGGCTATGTGCACGATCTATTCTTATTAGCAGTGTTTGCTTTGCTCCGCCCCCAACACATTCAACTCATCCGTGCTGTGCCGCGTGAAATGGCTTGTTCAATCGAATGAGAAACCCCTGTATGCACTCCGAAGAACTAGACAAGCCTCTCTGAACACGGTGTAGAAGCCTACGTCGATCTCGGTCGCGATGGGTCGCTCAGTGGCCTCGGCGACGCTCCGTTGTTTGATGAGCTCGGAATGGAAGGGGCTTGCGACCAAGGGAGAAAGGGATGCGATGGCGGTGACGATGCTCTCAATGAGACGCTACTCGAGTTTTGAGAGATTTGCTTCGAAGTCAAAGTGGACACAAGGACAAACGCTGTCACGATGGCCACTCGCCTCAGCCTCGCTAGACAGTAGCTCGTTACAGGTAAACCTTTAATTTTCTTGCTCAAATTTTCATTCGGATTTCTAAATACATTAAAAACATCGACTTTGGTTTAAACTTCAGAATGTCTTACTTAGTGTACAAATCATCTGTTTGTTTGTTATATTACATAATCAGATGGGATAATTTTTATGTGTTTAGAATTTGTTGATCGTTACTTTTCCGATGAAAAAAATTCCTTTGTCCTAATTGTTTATCTCTGTGCTTGACAAATCTCTACAGTGATACTAGCCGTCATTAATATTGTAGGGAAAAAATAAGCTGGATCTTTTCATGTTTAGACCACATACATTATCACGGGGCTTTGAGAAGAATACATTCATCTTAAAGTTGTAGTGGGTTCTTCACAGCCGTTACGTACTATATAGGCCTACATGGTATATTATTTTCACCAAGGAGATACGTTATATAACCTCCTTGTTGGAAGAAGATTGTTAATGGTTCTGTTTAGTACTCACATGCTTTGTTTTTTTAAATTCAAGTCGTTGCTAAGATTATGGGTTAGCAAAGAAAATATTAGTAAGCTGGAAGAATTGTTGAATACACTTTAATTTTTAGCCTATGTTATGTTTCACTCAATCATTAAGTTATTAATGTAAATATGTATTGCTATTATGGAAATAAAAACCTCGCTTGGGGATAAGAGAGAAAAAAAAAGAAAACAAATATAACCTTATTTTCACCAACAATTTCCTCTTTTCTTTCATTATCTCTCACTCAAAGAGAAAGTGGAAGGAAAATAATGAAAGGAAAAGAATTACATAATACATTTGTAATTTTCTGACCCCTTAGCCATGCATCGCTATTATCATTTTCAGACTGCACTATAATATATCCGAATATATTGCATATACGTACAGAAATGTTCGGTCAAGCTGTGTACAATGGTCAAACGTGCACAAACCTGGTAACAGGCACGAATGCGTATCTATTAATAGACTCGCATTCGGATGACCGTGCTGTAATTGGTCAGTCTGGGTTACCAGTCAGCTGGTTGGTCAAGCCAGACTTAAGCCAGACAGTCCCAGGTCACCTGCCAGACCATTGGCAGACCAAACAAAAACAACTGACCCCTCGGAATTAGCCTCGCTAACAGTCTCTGTTCCAAGAAGTCTTTTGTTCAGCAGAATGATAATAGAGTACTTATAGCTATGTCGATAACTAGAGAAGGTGGAGGAGGATGGCACTCTTGATGATTAGAAGGTTATAGTAGTAGTAGTATGGTATTTATTCATCAACATATCGCAGCCAATGGCTGAATTGCATGCATGATTTACAGAGATTTTATTTTAAAAATATTTTAAAAAAACATCATATTTACAGTTCGTTATTTAACAATAATTCAAAGACAAGAACCTCAATTAAACTCATAAAGGGAAGACGGAAATAAAGCAAATATGGAGCGGGGAGATAAGGAAGAAGAAAAGGAATGTTGAGGGAGAGGGAGTGGAGAGAGAAGGGGAGAAGAGAAGGGAGTGTGAGGGAGAGAGAGAGGGAGCGAGAGAGATAGAGAGAGAGTGAGAGAAGAACAAAGAGAGAGAGAGAGAGAGAGAGAGAGAGAGGAACACAAACACAGAGCTGGTATAATATTAAAAAAAATTGAAAATGTAATTGAAAATGTAATTGAAAATAGTTATTTCATCCACATAAGTGGGAAGGAATTGATTTGTAAAAAGTTATTTTGAGGCAAGAGTAAATACATTTCCACAAACACAGAGCTGGTATAATATAAAACAAATTAAAAATGTAATTGAAAAGTTATTTTATCCAAGTTAATGGGAATGCACTTCAGAATGATTGATTTAAAGAAAAGAATTTTGAGGCAAGAATAAATAGATTTCCACATTTATAGGCAACATTCAAACATTAATCTTCAATTCACTATTTAGAGTTCAGCAGTTTGATAATTTGTGGGATCGCACTATTTTTGTAGCGTTGTGTCCTACACTTTAGTTCTCGTAATCGGTTGCTGTGTCTTAGTTGTCTGTTTGATGATTGGCTTTCCGGTAGCCAATGACGAAAGTTCTTGAACAGCTTGTTGGCAAAGACCCGACAAAGGTCCTCTCTCCTTTCTTTGAGCGATACCAGGTCGCAAGCGCTGAGAGCACGTTGATAAGACTCGTACCCACCGGCTATCTTACCCACCGGCTATCTTTTCATTTTCACTACCAGAGTCTTTTTAGAGAAGATTGAGTTCTGGGAAGAGGTGAACAATAATGTGTGAGCGTTATCATTGTTATTATGCAAGTGTGAAAGAACATCAGATCAAAAATGTTCCCTCAAAAGCACAGCTCTTCCAATACCTAAATATTAAAAAAAAGGGATGTAACAGCATAACAAATCGGGACGGATTTTTACGCCACATGTTCGTGTAGTCCCATGGACATCTTTCTGTGTACAGTGCTTGGAACTTTACCAAGACTGGGCCAAATTTCTTATCATTTTGATGATTCTAGAACTTTGCAGTACACACCAATACTTATATGCTAGACACTAGATGATCAACCTTTTCTGATCGACTCCACACCAGGCGCGGATCCAGGATTTCTTAGGGGGGGGGGGGGGGCCCCAAATTTAAAAAATATGTGAGCCAAATATTGGTACGTAATGGTGACCAACAGTGACGTAATGCGGGGGGGGGGGGGTCGGTGCAGGGAGGGGCGAGTTTCCCCCTCCCTCCTCCGCGAAACGCGGAAGCTTTGACTTTTCATTAAATTATAAGAGAAAGAAGACGGTTCGTTGTACCGTTCTCGAAAATATTTCTCGTCTGAATTTAATTTTTCCCCTCCCGCGCAAAGCGCGGAAAATTTTAGGATTTATTTAATTATTAGAGAAAGAAGACGATTCTTTGTAGAGTTCTCGACTCTTAATCCTCGTCTGAATTCAGTTTACCCCTTCCGCGCGAAGCGTGGAAGCTTTTACGATTCATTAAATTATTAGAGAAAGAAGCAATTCGTTGTACCGTTCTCGACTCTTAATCCTTGACTAAATTCAGCCCCCCTCCCCCTCCTGCACGAAGCGCGGAAGCTTTTACGATTCATTAACCTATTAAAGAAAGAAGGCGATTCGTTGTACCGTTCTCGACTCTTAATCCTCGTCTGAATTCAGTTCCCCCCCCCCTCCTGCACGAAGCGCGGAAGCTTTGACGTTTCATTAAACTATTAAAGAAAGAAGGCGATTCGTTGTACCGTTCTCGACTCTTAATCCTCGTCTGAATTCAGTCCCCCCCCCCCCCCTCTCGCGCGAAGCGCGGAAGCTTTTAATTTTCATTAAATCATTAGAGAAAGAAGACGATTCGTTGTACAGTTCTCGACTCTTAATCCTCGTCTGAATTCATGTCCCTTCCCCTCCCGCGCGAAGCGCAGAAGCTTTTACGTTTCATTAAATCATTAGAGAAGAAGACGATTCGTTGTACAGTTCTCGACTCTTAATCCTCGTCTGAATTCAGGTCCCCCCCCCCTCCCGCGCAAAGTGCGGAAGCTTTTAAGTTTCATAAGATTATGAGAGAAAAAAGACGATTGGCTGTACAGTTCTCGACTCTTAATCCTCGTCTGAATTCAGGTTCCTCCCTCCCGCGCGAAGCGCGGAAGCTTTTAATTTTCATTAAATCATTAGAGAAAGAAGACGCTTCGTTGTACCGTTCTTGACTCTTAATCCTTGACTAAATTCAGTCCCCCCTCCCCTCCTGCACGAAGCGCGGAAGCTTTGACGTTTCATTAAACTATTAAAGAAAGAAGGCGATTCGTTGTACCGTTCTCGACTCTTAATCCTCGTCTGAATTCAGTCCCCCCCCCCCTCTCGCGCGAAGCGCGGAAGCTTTTAATTTTCATTAAATCATTAGAGAAAGAAGACGATTCGTTGTATCGTTCTCGAAAATAATCCTCGTCGGAATTTAGCCTCCCCCCTTCATCCCACGTGAAGCGTGGAAGCTTTTACGTTTCATTAAATCATTAAAGATTCGTATTATCGTTCTCGGCTCAGAATCCTTGTCTGAATTCAGGTTCCCCCCTCCTGCGCGAAGCGCGGAAGCTTGACGTTTCATAAGATTTTGCGAGAAAGAAGACTATACCTTTCTCGATTGTTAATCCTTGTCTGGGGCGGCGGCGAAGCCGGCCCAGGAAGCTCAGAGGTTTTAGGCGTTTAATTAGGGTCAGATGAGCATTTTTTTATAACTTATTATTTTGTGACACTGGCAGGTCACTATTTGGCGTGGGGTCCAGGGGGCGGAGCCCCCCAAAATCAGGGGTTTAGGCATTAAATTACCGTCAGATGAGCATCTAAGGGCCCGCCGTAGGGCCCAAGGTGCAATCAAGGGGGCAGAGCCCCCGGAAGTATTAATAGGGGTTTTAGGCAATTAATCACGGTCAGATGAGCATATTTTGATGCCTCATTATTTTTTAACACTGGCAGTTAACTATTCTTTCTTTCTAGCTCTCATTCTATTTTATTTCTCTTTAATATACTTTTTCAAAAAAAGTGGGGGGGGGGGGGGGGGGGGGCTCGAGGCTCCCAATCCCTGAAGTACCTCGGGCCCTGACATGTAGGAATCTCAAGAATCACATTTCTTGCCTGGCTGCAAATTTAGGAATTTTTCATTTTCCAACAAACACATACAAACGTATAATTTACTAAAAAGTGAGGAAAAATCTCGGAAATGATGTCATTTCAGCATTATTTGTAATCCACCGTTGTGGAATTAGAAATAAACCACGTTTGAATTTGATTTCCCCCAAGCCCCTCCCCCCCTCCCCCTATTAGTACGCCAGTATCTTCTCTTTTCCTTTTTTTCTTTCCCTTTCCTTCTTTCTCTCTTATTTTTTTGATGGGGGGGGGGGGGGGGGTCAACAGCCTGGGAGGCAAGGCCCTTTCGACCCCCCGATCTCCTTCTTCCCCCTTTTCTTTTCTTCTTCCTCTTCTTTCTTTCCCTTTCTCTTCTCTTTCCCTTTCCCTTCTTTTCCTTTCTTCTCTTTTTTTTTTTCTTTTTTTTTTTTTTTGCGGGGGGGGGGGGGGGGGGGGCAAGGCCCGCTCGGCCCCCCCCCCTGGATCCGCGCCTGCTCCACACTGCTTCTTTCAGAATGCAATCGGATGACCAGAACTCAGTTTTATCTTTAAACCTATGTGTTAAATCTACCTCTTATCAACATGAGAGGGGAGAGCGAGAGGCTATACAGCCAATCCAAGTTTTTATTCATTTAACAAAAAAATCAAAAGAAATTAAAAAATAATATTTAAAAGACGAGGGCCAGCATGACAACACGAGATCACATAAATGAAGAAGAAGGATAAGAACAAGAAGGCGAAGGAGAAGAAGAAGAAGAAAAGAAGAAGAAGATGATGAAGATGATGAAGAAGGAGAAGAAGAAGAAGAAGAAGAAGAAGAAGAAGAAGAGGAAGAAGAGGAAGAAGAAGAAGAAGAAGAAGAAGAAGAAGAAGAAGAACAACAACAACAACAAGAATGATTCTTACTTCTCGGAAGGAATTAGAATAGTTGATAACATGTAAACATGGAATAAGGTAGAAACGCTCATCCTGTGCAACCTCGTCATAGAGACATTTAGAATGGCGGAAATAGTTTGCTTGTTGAAAGAATCGGCTGTCGGTAAATAAGAATATTTGTAACCAGTTAAAGTCTTGGGGGGGGGGGGGGGGCGCTAATTTATTAAGAGAGAGGACTTTTTATTTTATTTTCTGGAAAATTGACAACTCACTGCAAATGGTCTGGCGAAGCCAATGGGCGGAAATGGCCTTGATTATAAAGAAAGATGAACAAAACAGAAAGAGGTAAACAAAAAAAGAACGAATAAGAAAAAGAGCGGGAAGGGTAGAGATTGTTGTCACAATCATTTAATGAAAAGAGGTTTCAACAAAATGATTCCAACTTTTAAGGGTAACACATATTAATATGCAGTTTCTAACTATAAAAAAAAATGCTTCTGAAGAAAACAGTAATGACGTGTGGTCCAGTTGCTAGTAGAAACGGGTAGGGTGGAGGAATATGTTCGCTCCAGGCATATGTTTGCCGGTTCACTAGAGCACTTGTGATTTATAAACTGGCTGGAGTTTGATTAATTAAAACTGCCAGAGAACCGACAGTGCAGTAATACGTACCTAGTGTTGTCAACGAGTATTAATTTGTTGATACCAGATACCAGAAGCGGCTATTGTTTGCAATTGAACAATAAATGTATATTAAAGCCCCACTGTCCTACTTGTAGCTACTTGCTCCCTCTATATAGAAAACTTCCCCAATTGGTGCCTGTTGGTCCCCCGTGATCCACTTTTTCCTATGTTAGTTGAGAGCCGAGTTAATGAGTAGCCACCTGTCAATGACCTCGCTGTGTGGTCTAATCCATTCTGGCCCAGTAGTATTGACGGTCTTTAAAATAAACGATGAGGCTGAAGGCTCCTTGTTTGCACTCGTCTGTAAAGAGAATAAAACACAGACGGCACACTTGCCACTGACTAGCTGGTCAAGCCAAAGTAGTGGTACCTCCTTGGTCAACCTAGCTAGACATTCCAAGGTCAGATTCCTTGTCCAAAAGACCGTTTGTAAAAACGCGTCGACAAATCTCCTTTGTGAATTCGGGTCATTGTAGTGATAGCTACATGTAGTTTAACAGTCTGCAAATACTGACCAGCATGTATAACTAAATATAGAATGACCTGCAACCCATGACTCATGCCAGGTCATGTTATGAATGAAACAATGAGTACTTGTACAGGAGATGAATACAAAGATGTCTGACTGACATAGAGCCTCAATAAAGCTATACAACTTATTAGTTCAATCAAAGCTCTCTAACTGGTCTTTTTTAAGAACATAATAGTCAAAGTGTTGAAAGCCCCAAAAATTGGATGGCATAATTTCACTTAAATTGCATCATAATGTGAAAGAGGATGTCATTTAAGACACATTTCTGCAAGGATTTTCAAACCAACGTGTTTGAAGTCGAATATTGATGAAATAATACAGCATTTAGGATTTCTGCGTACCGGTACATCAGAAAACCCAAAATACGTATCCTTTTATCAATATTTGTCTTCACATTTTTTTCGGGGGGAATTTTTTTCCAGAAGTGTGTCTTAAATGGCATCCTCTTTCACATTATGATATAATTAAAGTGACATTTTTGCCATCAAACTTTTGGCGAAATTGGGGCTCCCAAAACTTTAGAGGGGCTCTGAAAATGCCTCGAATGGGTATTATCGAGTACAGTCAAACTTGCTTTAATAGTGACCACCTGTCTACAAACACCACCTGCCTACAAAGACCAAATTTTTGGGTTTCCCTTGCAAATGGTTTCTCACTGAGACATGTACTAAAGGAACCTGTCTACAAAGAGTTTGTCAAAGACCACTTTTTGTGTTTCCCTTGGGTGGTCGCTACAAACAGATTCGACTGTACAATCAGCTAGCATGATCATAACGCTTATTTTCGTATTTATCATTGTTATATTATTACCGTTGTCATTATTTTTTTGTTTTTTTTGTTACCACTATCGTTATTATCATTATTATTTATTATTATTATTATTATTAAAACTTTCCTAAAATTCCAATCCAGAACAATTTCAATACCCCATTGAATATCTGATTTATCGCCTATCTTAAACAGACGCACTACCTTTGTTTTTCAAATGATTGGTTTTGCTTGTTTCTAATTCTTTGAATATTTACAATTTTCCTGATTTTTCAGTGAATATCAACCATTTTTCTTATCCCCGAATTCCGAAATTTCCACATCACCCCTCTCTCTTTCTCTGTCTTTTCCATCTCTTCTTTTTGATGAATTCAAAGGAGAAAGGGGAGGGTGGTGAGAGAGAGAGAGAGAGAGAGAGAGAGAGAAAGGATCAAGGAGGAAATGGGGGAGGGGAGTGAACAAAATTAGGATTATACAAAAATGAGAGTTTAAATTATTTGATTAACCTTTAGCTGTATCATTTTCATCGTATTTAATTCGTCATGGATTTATTTTTGTTTGACGTCTACCCCCTCCCCCCCCCCCCCCATCTAAACAAACTATAAACTTAGTTAAAAGTTCCTACTGGAGATCTTTCTAATGTCCTGTATTGTTTTGTATCTATTGACACTTTCAATTTTTTCTTGTTCTGCCACAGGTTTTTTCAGTTGGGAATGTGAAGAAAACGAGTGTACATGAACTTCATCGACTCTTAATGGCTCACAAATTTGACTATGTCCGCTTTGAGCAGAGCGACATGCATGGACTGGCAAAATGCAAACTGGTGCCAATAAACCACTTCCGGAGCAAGATGAACAAAGGTATCAACTTTTCGTTAAGTCACATGATTAAAGATCCCAACGGAACAAAAGTTTGCGGGACAGGTCTATGGTATGAGAAAGGGATGGGAGATGGGATAGGAGTGCCCGATCTATCGTCATTTAGGGTGTTACCTGGTGTGACAGTGCTGCCAGAGTCATCGTTGATCTCACTGAGGATGGTGTTCCTCTGAACGCGCATCCCCGGAACATCGCTCGCCGACAGATTGAAGAGTTGGACTCCATGGCGCTGTCCATCTTGGCAGCTCATGAATTTGAATTTGTCGTGGAGGACGAGAAGGATCGTATGCCTATCTTCGACGGCATGAACTGCGGATACTTGATGAATATCTCTCGCGCAGAGTTGCTCGTTCAACAGTTCGCACGAGACTTGCCTCAGATGGGGCTAAACGTAGAGACCCTGGAGAGTGAAGCAGGAGCAGGGCAATTGGAGATCACCTACCGACCCACCACTGGTCTCACCATCGGGGATAACGGATATACCTTGAAAACATCCATCAAAGAGATCTGCCAGAGACAAGGTTACGTCGCGTCTTTCCGCTCTAAACATTCCAAAGATTGTACATCGTCATCCCACTTTTGCCACTCCCTGTGGGACAGCAGCAACACGACGTCTCTCCTCTACGATCCGCAGCATCCGCAGAGGCTGTCAACACTTGGACAGCATTGGTTGGCAGGGCTTATCCGCCATGCTCCTGCCTTGACGCTTCTGATGTGCCCTACCATCAACTGCATCCACCGTCTCGGCACCACCGTAGTAACACCTACAACGGCATCATGGGGTGTGGACAACCGCTCTTGTGCCTTCCGACTGAGTCAGCCGCCGAAAGACAACAACCCGGACTCGTTTTTCATAGAGAATCGGATGGGTGGGGCAGGGAGTAACCCTTACCTCACAATGGCGGCTACCATAGCTGCTGGTATCGACGGCATCCGGAACCAGATCCCTCTCCCAGCACCAGTCCAAGGCATGGCGTCCACCACGGCACCATGCCCCCATGACACCAACCAGAACCTTCCAAGGACCATGCAGGAATGCTTGGATGCCTTCCAAGCTGATGACGTCATACTTGACGCCATGGGACCAGAGTTTGTTCAGTGTTTCACGGCCCTAAAGGAGGAGGAGATGAGATTACATCAGAAAGCTGCAGAAAATGGTGATCATTCGTGGCATTACTCATTTGTGGAGCATGTCTAACTATAGATCCAGATGTATTTTCAACTTTAATTGTTGTAATTGATAAAACAATCCAGTGTCCACAATTAGTCTGAGTACAGATTTAACATTATGCTCCGTGTCAAAACTAAATGTATTTTGACTGTTTCATGTGAAACACCTTCTAAGTAATAACCCACCAAACTGTATGAATAAAGAATTATACTCGGTCACGGTATTCAACATGGCATTAGTCATTTGTTGAACACAATATTCCACAAAAGATCGACAAGACCAGCCGTTATAAGCATAATTATTCTAACAGGGTTTCAGCATTTGTTCCTTGTCATACCTGTCAAACCTACATGGAATAACTGCTTCTTATAAAGTGCCTTCTCAGTACTAACACACCAAACACTATGAATAAAGTATTATCCTCGGTCATTGTATTCAACAACGATTCTGTACTCTACATTGCACATTCTTCACTATGTAATTATTATTTTATGTTGTATGAAGTATTATAATTCTCGTCATCCTTTCAACAATTTGTATTCAAAAGGATAACAACTATTTCCGAAAAATCCCCCTAAGGCCTGTTGAAATGTGTGAACGTGACAATGTCGTATTAAGAATCCGAATAAGATTTCTGTTATGTTTATGGTTTACCCAATAGGGGGTTCAAATTGCCCTTGAGTTGAATTTTTTAAGAAAATAGTTATGTTATTTCATGTTATATCTTAAAACAGTTGTTTTTTTTAAATCTAAGTTGAAACGAAACATTATGTGACTCTGTGGTCGTATATGTTACCCCCCCCCCCGCAGTACCCTTGTTTGTTTTTGGCGTAAATGTATTATGTATAGAGATCTGTAACACTCTAAACTTGATTTTCTTTTAATTGTAAGCACCCAATATTATACAAATATTGTATGCACCGAAGCCGCATACCGAGGTTGAAATAATGACACCAGGGAAATTCTGAATTAGAAGGTGAATACAGGTATCTGGTATAAGGAACATCGAAATGCGTGCAATATTTTTTGATATAAAATGTTGGTTACTTGCAATGTTAGGCCTTTGTCTTGGAGTCGGCCACTCTCGATAACATTCAGACTGCATTCATTTTCCGTCAGATCTAGATGCGAGCTGCTATGACGTGGCGTTAAATGCCGTTTCAAAAGGCCATCTTTACAAATAGTTTTTCATATAGAGTGTCTTTTTTATATAGATTTATTTGTTGGTGAAAGATGTTGCATAAAATCATTTATATACATTTGCGAATGATCAACAAGACTAGAAAATAGCTTTTTTTAAATAGTAAATTTCGTGCCTGTAACTTAATTTGTATCGACTAATTAAACGATGCTTATTCCGTCAACGATTAAAAGCCTAACTTCTTGAACCGAGTTGATGGTGAAATAAAAATGTTCACCTAGTTTGTATCCAATTTGTTAATTGTAAAACTAAATTTTTAAAAAGCTATGAAGTTGTTGAAAATATAATGCCTTTGAACTATGCAATAGTGACTGGTTTCTTTTTTATCATTTAATTTGATATCGTACTTATATTTTAATTTTTGTATAATGATTTTTTAAAATAGTAAATGGATTCATGGTTCCTCAATACAGAAGCCCTAATGTATGTTGGATATCAAGAGCAGATTAAAAGTGAATGATGACAAGCTTTTTATATATAAGATATATATATATATATATATATATATATATATATATATATATATATATATATCTTTCTCTCGCTCTTCTCTTTCCCTCTTTCATGTCCCTTTCGCTCTATTATTCCCTCCTCTCTCTACATGTCTCCCCATCTCCCAATAATTATGCTTTGCTCACTCGCTCTTTAATGATCTAATATAAGCCTTCTTTCTGACATCGTCCAATATTAGTTTCACGGCCATTAACACGATTATATACACGTTATGATACATTCCCTTTAACGATACAAATCGCAAGTTATAGAGTACACTGCAAACGTTTCATGTCCCTTTTAAATATGAGTCACATCTTTTATACATTTATTACGCTAATATTTGTTATCATTGATATTATAATTAGTAGTGATAGTAGTATAGTAGTAATATTATTTATATTATTATGTATATATGTGAAGTCCTCAATGTTAACTTAACCTTTTATAATGTGTATCGAAGTGAGTTATATATATATTTCTCTACATCATTTTAACATTCTATGACCTTGTATCATGTACGATTATAATCAAATTATGCTTGATCAAATTTTGCTTCATCTTGTACATATCTTATATTTAAGTAAATGAAGAAAAACATAGATACTTGGTTTCCGTTGTCTTTTTTCTGCTTTGTTTAAATTTTAGCCATTCAAAAATCATTATTGTCCCTTTAATGGGAATATGATACTAATGATAATAATAACACGAAGAACACAAATAGCAAGAGGGGACCCTTGCCATTTGTGTCGTCCTTAACATCTCATGAAATGATCTCTTTTCATCTCTATAATAGTCTATGATCTCTGTCTATCCAAACAATGTAATCGCAGATCATTCCATGAGATGTTAAGGGCGGGACAAATTGCAAGGGGGAGCCTTGCATTCTGAGCCGCCCAAAATGGCAGGGGGACCCTTGCATTCTGTGTCGCCCTTAACATGTCATAAAATGATCTCTTTTCATCTCTATATAGGAATGTAGATCTCTGTCTACCCAAACAATGTAATCGCAGATCATTCCATGAGATGTTAAGGGCGGGACAAATTGCAAGGGGGGAGCCTTGCATTCTGAGTCGCCGAAAATGGCAAGGGGGACCCTTGCATTCTGTGTCGCCCTTAACATGTCATGAAATGATCTCTTTTCATCTCTATATAGGAGTGTAGATCTCTGTCTATCCAAACAATGTAATCGCAGATCATTCCATTAGATGTTAAGGGCGGGACAAATTGCAAGGGGGGAGCTTTGCATTCTGAGTCGCCCAAAATGGCAAGGGGGGACCCTTGCATTCTGTGTCGCCCTTAACATGTCATGCAATGATCTCTTTTCATCTCTATATATGATTGTAGATCTCTGTCTATCCAAACAATGTAATCGCAGATCATTCCATTAGATGTTAAGGGCGGGACAAATTGCAAGGGGGGAGCTTTGCATTCTGAGCCGCCCAAAATGGCAGGGGGACCCTTGCATTCTGTGTCGCCCTTATACATGTCATGAAATGATCTCTTTTCATCTCTATATAGGAGTGTAGATCTCTGTCTATCCAAACAATGTAATCGCAGATCATTCCATTAGATGTTAAGGGCGGGACAAATTGCAAGGGGGGAGCTTTGCATTCTGAGTCGCCCAAAATGGCAAGGGGGGACCCTTGCATTCTGTGTCGCCCTTAACATGTCATGCAATGATCTCTTTTCATCTCTATATATGATTGTAGATCTCTGTCTATCCAAACAATGTAATCGCAGATCATTCCAGGAGATGTTAAGGGCGGGACAAATTCACTTGAAATTAAACACCCAGAAGGCTACCTAGACATGGTTGTGTTGAGGTACAAGAATCCCCATTTTGCAAGAGCATCAAGGATATTTCAGTCATAAGTTTGTCATTATGTCAGGCAAAGAGTTTTCACGGAATATACTGGTACGGAATGAAACGGAATGGAATGTACTGTAACGGAACGAATTGGAACGAAATGAATACTCCGATTAAAGCTATGAATTCCCGTAGAAGCCTTTGTTTAGACTTTGATTTGTTAACGACCTCGCTGCAGCCACACAGAGATCATACACTCCTTCTAGAGATGAAAGATATCAAAAAAGTTGAAAAACCCTGAAGTGGCAAGGGGGGGGGGGACCATTGGCATTTGTGTCGTTCTTAACATCTCATGAAATGATCTGCAATTACATAGTTTGGATATACAGAGATCTTACACTCCTTCTAGAGATGAAATGATATCAAAATGGGCCAGTTGCAAAACTATGAAATGGCAAGGGGGACCCTTGCCATTTGTGTCGTTCTTAACATCTCATGAAATGATCTGCAATTACATAGTTTGGATAGACAGAGACCATACACTCCTTCTAGAGATGAAATGAGCATCAAGGAGATTTCAGTCATAAGTTTGTCATTATGTCAGGCAAAGTGTTTTCACGGAATATACTGGTACGGAATGAAACGGAATGAAATGTACTGGTACGGAACGAATCGGAACGAAATGAATACTCCGATTAAAGCTATGAATTCCCGTAAAAGCCTTTGTTTAGACTTTGATTTGTTAACGACCTCGCTGCAGCCACACAGAGATCATACACTCCTTCTAGAGATGAAAAGATATCAAAATGGGCCAATTGCAAAACCCTGAAATGGCAAGGGGGACCATTGGCATTTGTGTCATTCTTAACATCGCATGAAATGGTCTGCAATTACATAGTTTGGATATACAGAGATCTTACACTCCTTCTAGAGATGAAATGATATCAAAATGGGCCAGTTGCAAAACTATGAAATGGCAAGGGGGGACCCTTGCCATTTGTGTGAATTTTTAACATCTCATGACATGATCTGCAATTACATAGTTTGGATAGACAGACATCATACACCCCTTCTAGAGATGATATGATATCAAAATGGGCTAGTTGCAAAACCCTGAAATGGCAAGGGGGACCATTGGCATTTGTGTCGTTCTTAACATCTCATGACATGATCTGCAATTACATAGTTTGGATATACAGAGATCATACACTCCTTCTAGAGATGAAAAGATATCAAAATGGGCCAGTTGCAAAACTATGAAATGGCAAGGGGGGACCATTGGCATTTGTGTCGTTCTTAACATCTCATGAAATGATCTGCAATTACATAGGTTAGATAGACAGAGTGTTGTGACAGTTGCACTTGAAATTAAGTTATCACCCAAGTCATTTGTTTCTTGTACTATTGATGCATGACATGAATACACATATGTTTTTAATAGCACTTCCTCAGGTAAGGTGCCTAGTATAGCGCCATCTATTGATATTCACTTGAAATTAAACACCCAGAAGGCTACCTAGACATGGTTGTGTTGAGGTACAAGAATCCCCTTTTTGCCAGAGCATCAAGGAGATTTCAGTCATAAGTTTGTCATTATGTCAGGCAAAGAGTTTTCACGGAATATACTGGTACGGAATGAAACGGAAAGGAATGTACTGGTACGGAACGAATCGGAACGAAATGAATACTCCGATTAAAGCTATGAATTCCCATAGAAGCCTTTGTTTAGACTTTGATTTGTTAACGACCTCGCTGCAGCCACACAGAGATCATACACTCCTTCTAGAGATGAAAGATATCAAAAAAGTTGCAAAACCCTGAAGTGGCAAGGGGGGGGGGGACCATTGGCATTTGTGTCATTCTTAACATCTCATGCAATGATCTGCAATTACATAGTTTGGATATACAGAGATCTTACACTCCTTCTAGAGATGAAAAGATATCAAAATGGGCCAGTTGCAAAACTATGAAATGGCAAGGGGGACCCTTGCTATTTGTGTCGTTCTTAACATCTCATGAAATGATCTGGCAAGGGGGACCCTTGGCATTTGTGTCGTTCTTAACATCGCATGAAATGGTCTGCAATTACATAGTTTGGATATACAGAGATCTTACACTCCTTCTAGAGATGAAATGATATCAAAATGGGCCAGTTGCAAAACTATGAAATGGCAAGGGGGGACCCTTGCCATTTGTGTGGTTTTTAACATCTCATGACATGAT